GCAAATGGGAGCCTGATGTATGTGCTGGACTTTAAATCTTATGTGGTACTTTAAATCCCTGTTTGACTTGCACAGTGTAGTCAGATATGGGGCAATCATCCTGGTTTGACATGCACAGCTGAAAGGTTAACCCTTCCTTTGGTATCATGGAGCCAGTGGGGGAGGGGGAAGTTTACTCACATCTTCAATTAGTTATTAAGGAGTGGCTGGATGCTGAAGCAATCAAATTAACCTCCATTCTGTTGTTGCTGTCCCAGTTGTTTCTGATCCTCAAGTTTTGGCAAAACTCCTCAGTTTTCTATTACCTCTTTGGTCTTGAATTGCTTTTTCAAGGCACTGTTTGTGTTAGCTTTCACTTTTAGTTGAAAAGTTGATCTTTTTCTTTGGTTTTGGCCTTCTCTGTCCTTTCTGGCTAAGAATGAGATGACTGGTTTCCAGAGAGATCCCTTGGTTATTGTTGCTTCGTTGGTTCGGCCAAGGGGGTACATTATTGTCTGGTTGTAGCTATTCACCATTACCACCAGTCTACTAGTGGTGCATGGAGGATGCTTTGTGGATCTGGTAATTACCTAAATGTAATTACCTAAGTGTAGTTAAAGGATGCGAGCTATGCTCATGGTGTTCTGTCTTTCCAACACTCTTTGTCATATAATACTTTTTGAAATGACTGATGGGTTTAGCCTCCACCGCATTATCATTCAACTTGTTCCAACCGTCTACCACTCTGTTTGCGAAAGTGAATTTCCTTATATTTGTTCGGCATCTTAGTTTAGTTAGTTTAAATCTATGACCTTGTTCTTGAAGTTCCAGGTCTCAGGAAATCTTCTCTTATCAATTTTATTGATTCTTGTTACTATTTTGTATGTAGTGATCATATTGCCTCTCTTTTTTTCTTTATCTTCTAGTTTTGGCATATATAATGCCTCTAACCTCTCCTCGTAGCTCTTGTCCTTCAGTTATGGGAGTCGCTTAGTGGCGTGTCTTTGCACCTTTTCCAGTTTGTTGATGTGCTTCTTAAGATATGGGCACCATACAACCACTGCATATTCCAGCTTTGGTCTAACAAAAGTCGTGAATAATTTCTTCAGTATTTCGCCATCCATGTATTTAAAAGCAATTCTGAAGATAGGAAGTGTAGCATAGGCTCCTTGCACGATGTTCTTTATGTGAGCCTCAGGTGATAGTTTTCTATCTAGAACCACCCCTAGATCTCTTTCTTTATCAGAATTCTTTAAAGATTTCTCATATAATTTGTAGGTTGAGTAGGGTCTATTCTCCTATTCCATACCATGGCATTTATTTACATTAAATTCCATTTGCCAAGTGGTACTCAATATACTTATTTTGTCCAGGTCTTTTTGACGGGCATGACAATCATCTAAGTTACTTATCTTCCCTACTATCTTAGCATCATCAGCAAACATGTTCATATAATTCTGTATTCCATCTGGTTGATCCTTTATGTAGACAGTGAACATTACCGGTTCAAGAACTGAACCCTGTGGTACTCCACTTGTGACATTTATCCAGTCCGATACATTGCCTCTTATTACCTGTACTGCAGTCATTTTCTGTCAGAAAATTTTTCATCCATGTTAGAAGCCTACCAGTCACTCTTCCAGTATGTTCCAGTTTCCAGAACAACCTCTTATGTCGAACTCTGTCGAAAGCCTTTTTTAAGGTCCAGATAGAAGCAGTAATCCCAACCATCTCTTTCCTGTAAAGTCTCTGTGGCTCGATCATAGAAACTGAGTAAATTCGTTACACTGGATCTTCCAGATCGAAAACCATACTGATTGTCTGATATTATATAGTTTTTCCCAGGTGTTCTACCCATTTATTTTTAATTATTTTTTTTCCAATATTTTGACTATTGCACTTGTCAATGATACAGGTCTATAATTGAGTGGATCTTCCCTGCTGCCACTTTTGTAGATTGGAACTATGTCAGCCTTATACGTCATTGTATAAGGTTTCTTGTATGTCCCTGGTTTCTTGTTTCAGGGTCAATTTGTCTTGCTGTCAAAATTTAACCAGCCTGCAGTGTACCCTCAGGCCCATGATTAATGCTCTAAAGTTTGTGACTATCTACTGTACTGTATTTTCAAATATGTCCTGGACAGAAATTTGGGCTCGGGGTTTTGGTGGACCAACAGAGGCTAGAGACCAGATACTCGGTGTTCCTGCTCTGCTCTTATATAGCTTTGGGACAGTTAACTCTTTGCTAATCCTCCTTCAACACATGGCTCTGTTTTGTGGCTTTCCTCTACCAATTGTGTTCCCCTTTTGTTTTGTTCTCTGCGGTGACATTTATTTATTTATATACGTGTATATATATTCAAGAGTTCTTACATTCTTATAAAGACCCCTAGCATGCATAGTGTTTCGGGCAGGTCCTTAATCCTAATTTTTCCCCGGAATACGACCTGCCAAATTGTTTAACACGTGTTTACCACTAAGCCACAGAGACAGCATTATTGAGCCACTTTAGGAGTCCTCTAAGAAAATGAGTGTTTAATATAAGGAAATTTCTCTTTCTAGTGGATCCTTGGTGACTTCTAGGACCATCACTTCATTCTAGGGCCTAAGTTTTCCCATCCTCCTGGCTAAATGACTAACGGTCAGGGCTAGAGGATTAAAATGTTGGGGTTCAGATTAACCTGGTGATGCACAGTTGGAATTAACAGGTGAACTTCTTCATGACCAGGTGGTTCACCCGATTCTCTGTGTTACGTCTCATCAGGAACAGGCATTTACACTGGTTTCTTGATGTCTATTAACCCCAAAATTAACATTTAAGAAGATAAGGTTTAATACTCTGTTCTGAATTAATAAATCTTGACTCTCAAAATTAAGAGTAGCTATATGATCTCTTCAAGCTAGGCCCTACAACTTTTCCTTCTCAGGGCATTGATTATTACAACTTCCTTTCCAAGGTAATAGCTCACCTCTTCCTTGGGCTGGTGCACCACAAAAACACTTAACCCTCTTATCAGCCATTATTAATGGTCTTTTCTTTAACAAAATCGTGAAATAGGCCATTGAATGCACATCAGGCCTACTCTCATCACAAGAGTACCTGCTGACTGTGCAGGTTGGGCCATCCACTTGCCACTATTGGACCTATATGGGGTACACATGTAAAAGTACGACATTGTAATGTGGGGACTTGGAAGGCTATTTTTAAGTTGAATGTTCATAAGGGGTAACCCACTTCATAAACAATTTATAAATTAAAAATAGGCTACTTAGCAAAAGAATAGTACTGTACTGCTATTTAAAGTACTGTAATGTTCTATAGTGAATGCAATAAAATGACTTGTAGACTGTGGTATAATGGAAACAATATATACATGTAATTAGATATTTTACTTACTAGGCTTGTTGACTTTTGTGTATAGTAGAGAACCAGATCATGATTTTATTTTATACATGAATGCATTCATTTAAGATGATAGACTGTACAGTTCCATTAAGGAACTTTTATTAGATGCTGGCTTAGCTTCTGTATTAGCCCATAAATTTGATTTTTTTTTCAGACAGAGTGCAATGTACAAAGTTAAAAGTTGACATGCAGCTAGTGTCAAAATGCATGAACTCTTCACACAAGTCCTCTCGCACAAGGATCTCTCAAAGGTAAGTTTAAATCTGCCTTGCTTATTTATAGGGTTAAAATATTCATGCAGGTACAATCATTTATATACATTTACAATTTTTAGAGAGAAACTTGCCCACATTCATATACTTGCAAGGCCTGTTGTACATGCCCACTGAACATTAGAGATAGTCTTGCCTTCTTGCCATTCCTGTATGCCAAAAACAAAAATAATTTAAAATAATTTAAAATACAATTTAATTATTTCTGGGAGCCCCCAGTGGCTCCCAGTAGCTATCTCGGTGAGATTACTAAATTCAAATGGGTCAGATGAGATGTGGGAGTTCGGTTTTGCTTCCCGGGGACCAGAGGCAAAACTTAGCCCACTCACAAAGGCACGGAGAATGAATGACAATTTGCCACTTCACAGGGAAAGCATCCAAAAAGTCAGTAAAGCTTTACAGACAATTGGAGGGATAATAAAGACCAAAGCCTCAACTGCCAAACAACTTCACAAATGAATCTCGCAGATCAAGAGACACATTCAAAGCTAGTATGAAACTTGTAGTCCTGTCATGAATGCCACCACCAGGCAGCCTGGCTCTTGCACATGGCCATCTTTCCTAATAAATTTTTAACACTGATGTTTTCTGGACAGTAGAGCACTGTGTCTTTCAGACGTGGCATTCCCTTTTGCTTCAAGATAAGTGCCAGCCATCCTTGGACTTGTTCCTTCAGGGGTCATTTGCTTTTATACTTTATTCTATACTGTATCCACTCAATTTAAAGACCTCTAATTTACCATTCCGCTGGTTCTCACGACCAAATTTGAGATCGGTAACTGGAGCCTTATTTGCAGTCACTGGTCATTAAATCCAGAATTCAGTGTTGCATTTACGAGTCCATTGCTTGTTAAACTGAAGGCCACTATTGGGTTTTGTGTGACAACTTTATCCTGGCTAAACCAAAGTTTTCAACAATGTGGATAAGAAATGGTACCAGCATTTGATGTGGCTGTGGGAGGAATGAGTGAATTGAGTGTGTGTAATTACCAAAGTGTAGTTACAGGATGAGAGCTATGCTCATCTGACAAAGAGTTATGGGAAGATGGGACACCACAAATGTAGCTCTCATCCTGTAAATACACTTAGTTAATTGCAGTTAGGAAATTATACACTGAAATAGAAAGGACAGGTTGGAGGTAGGTGACTCACTTAATTAGAAAAAAAACCGTGTTCAGAATAGGAATGTGTGTTGTTATTGGCATTTGGAGTTTAATGTCTGAATTTAAGTGATAAAATATATTCTGTACTGTACTATAACACAATTATTTAATATGTATCTCTCTTTAATTACAAAGTTTTTGTTTGTGGCTGATGTTTTCTCTTCACAGGCTGGTGATTTGTTTAATGTGTCCGACCACTTGATTGTAAACGATCTCACCGATGTCGTTAATAAAATTTTGGAAATTGCCAGCTTGCCTGAGTATACGCGAAATGACAATGACCAGAGCGTTGTTGAGATTTGTATTACTCGTGTCACATCTGCCATCAGGTAAGAAAAGCTAATTATATTTATAAGCAAAGTGAGAGTTTGAGAGTCGATACATAGGAAGAACTTACAGAAGACTTTACTGTCAATTGTAATGATATATAAAACCACTATTAGTTACAAGGTGTAGCCTAAATGAATATGTGATCAGGGCACCACAGCAGAAGGCTGTTACTGGCTTAGAGATAAGTACAATGTTAGAATGTGATTCTTTGTACAATTTTAACATCAGATTTTTGATGAGTAGGATTTTATGGTTTTATGGTCTCCAATTCTACTGTAAAATGATAGCATGATGTTCATACAGATTTTCTGGGGGGGGGGGGAAGGCTCCAAGGTGCGACTTGATAGGTGCAGAACTTTTCATAGTGGCTAGCAACAGGGAGCCACTTTGAACCTACTAGAAAGAGACATTTCATTACATTTAAAACTGGATTTGTACTGAATTCTTATTCTAAATTTGATAACTGATACCACTTGTAATACTGTGTGGTATTTTATTAACAGCAGTACAGTACAACCTCGATTCGTTGCACTATATGGGATCAACCCGAGTTCGTTTTAGGGGGGAGGGGGGTGACTTCATTGCAACTGGTGATGCCTTCAGTAGGCATTTGCATCTTTTTTTTTTCCTTGTACACAATAAAAATGCATTATCAAATTATATACTGTTCCTATATATTACTACTCAACAAAAAATACTGTTATAGGTTTATTTACCTTATTGTTGGAATATGTCCATATTGAATTCTCATGGAGTTGTGAATACTGTATTGTAAATACTGTACATACAGCATTGTATTATACAGTTAGCACTATATTGATTATGATTATGATTATGTAGTTCTGCTGTATGTTGAGCACTACAATACAGTTTATGAAAACTATTGTACACTAAAATTACTGCAACAATAATTTTAACAGTTTAACACTATGTACTTAAATTTAACACGTGTTCTAACTGTACACTCCACACACATACACGATGTTCTAGATGTTTGCATCAGTTTTGCTGGTGCTCGCTGCTGTTGTGTTGGTTTCAGCTGCTTAACCCCTTAACTGCGTTGCCTCCAAATATGACACCCCCTAATGGGCAGGAAATAAATTCTCTGGAAAAAATTCTTTTGATTTTTTAAAGTGACAAAAACCCTTCCCTCAGTATGGGTATGTAAAAAAAAAAATTAAAATTGTGCTTTCTTTGGCTGCTATGGGGTCCGTAAGTTGGTGCGTGACGTCATCATTCCCAGTTCGCCCGTGATGTACGCTCCTGGGGCCAATTGGGCTCCCGGGGCGGGGCGCACGAGTTGCCGCGAATATATTTATGTTCATTTTTTGCGCACAGTTCCAAATACATTTTATTTGTTTTACGTGCTAATCCTATGTATAATGAACACACTATATTATGGCAGTAAAACATCTGTACTGTCCGAAGACACTGTGTTACGTGCATGACACTTGTGTACACATATACTGCACATATTTACTATGTATCATGCTAATTTATGTATATATACAATCTATTTACACACTATACACTGTCACACACTATATACATTCATTATCAACACATTCAGAACACCACAAGTGAGAGCAGCCACACCCAGCCAGTCTCCCTCACTCCAACATCTTACTCGCCAACATTGCTCCTCCCACCATACTGTTATTGTTCTTATTACACTATTTACACATATTGTATATACCTATCTACATGTTTTATTTACCAGAACTATGGAAGTAAACCAGTATTGTGTCCAAACAGTACAGTTGCCACCATACACTGCATGAAAAATCACACAGCAGACGATGCTACGATTACGACATAACCTCCCTCACCAAAATAGCTCCTCTCAACATTCTCCTGTTGCTGTTATTACACTATATACACACACTGTATATACCCATGTACATATGTGTTGCCCATAGCGAACCACTAAGCTAGTATGGTGAGCAAAACAAGAGTGGCTGCCACACACACACAGTGAGGCTACCTCAATTCTCTCCCTCCCACACCAAAATTCCTCCTTCCACAATACTATGCACAATGCTAACTATAACCACAATCCTGCTATTATCACAATCCTGGTCACTAATTCCTGTAAATGAATAATTGACCACATGTTTATTTTGATAAGGAACCTAAGAAGTCATTTGAAGATTCCTAGATGGACAAAATAATGCTGTAGTGCTGTGGCTAGCACTGTGAACATCGTGAACAGCATTGAATCACTGATATTTGAACATTGTACCCAGTCATTATCACACTCAGGCTCTTCTATAATACTATCATTGCTAAATATTACCAGTTTATTTAGCTTGTATTATTTTGTATTCTATATTTTGACATTATTAGGCAATGCTGTGGTCACGCTGAACAGCAGTGCTGTGCGCTCATGCTGCGAGCGACAGCCTTGGTTGCTCACTCACTACTGAGGCTCCCACACCCGGGAATGTGGACCACAATTTTTTTTAAAGATGGCATCTGTTTACAAGAGCCCTGAGGAAGCTGATGTGAACCCCATGTAGCTGTGGGAGTTTTGAATGGAACGTGAAAAATACAAATACCCGAAGGCGCGTTACGCAAACCAGACGTGAGCCTGCAGGCACGTTGCGCAGTTTAAGGGTTAATGATACTATGGCAATTTTCCTGTTCTTAACCTTATGCCTATTCATAAATCTTTCCAACCATTCTTCACTAGCTTGAGAATCTGGAATGTTCATCTTTGAACATCAATCACATCATCATGGATGGATTGGTGGCTGACTGGCGGGCAGGCAGGCTGGGTGGGTGTAGGCGGGTGGTGTGGGTGGGTTTTAGCAGGCAGATGGGCAGCTGTTTGGGCGGGCGGTGTGGGTGAGTTTGGGCCCCCTTCAGACAGGTGATCTTTCAACACCGCATTTGACAGGGTATTGGGAGTTGGAGGCGCATGCACCAGCCATGGTTGTTCAATCAGAACTGATTTTCATAGTGCCCAGTGGTATACTGGGAATTTTTTTTTTCAAGATGACTACCGCTCACTGGAGGCCTGAAGCCTCCATCTTGTAACCAACCTACCGCGCTCACCTTTTTAATCTTACAATATCCTGACATCGCTCCTGAGTCGGGTGGCACACTGCCATACCCCATGTTATGTCATGTGGCGCAGTTCAGTGGATAATGAGCAGCAACATGCAATAATATACATTAAGTACTTGCATAGTATCGTTACTTATTTTAGAGCTTTTCTTTTGTGCTGTTGTTTTACTGATTTTGTACTTTGAATAAATTACTATATCTGCCATTTTCTAATCAGGAAAGAATCATATGGAATTAATTTAGTGTGACTTTTAACTTGTCTTCTTCAGGGAAACTGGAAGTATTGAGCAGCATGCAGAGGCCCTTGTGGCCCTCCTGCAGACTTGTCTCAACCACAACCTCCGACCGTCTGCACGTGACCATGACCCTCCACATGCTAAGATTGCTTCTGATGTGGTCTCTTGCATCTTCTTGGTGAGATTTATCACATGCTCTTCAATTATTAGATGATGTATGAGAGAGGGGGAAAGGGGGGGGGGAAGAGAGAGGAAGGTACAGTGGAGGAAATGAGTGTGGAAGAAAGGAAGACAAGAAGGTAAGGAGGATATCAGTATGCAAAGGGAGAAAAATATTAAGAGTATGTGAGAGGAAAGGATCACTGTATGGGTAACACAGTTGCAACAGTTATTGTAATGTAGTATTGAGTGGAATTGTGTACCTAATGCTCATATGATTTGATCATCCAATTTCTTGCATGCTTTCTGGAATTAGCCATTTGCAAGCACAAGACAGAGATCACAAATAGTAAGTATCAATCTAAAGCCTCTCGGCTATAAATTGGTTGTATGATAATTTCTGTATCCTATGTATAATAAAATATGAATTTACTTTTGTTGATTAAAGCATTGTTGTATTATCTTTTTCTGTACTGTTATTGTTTGGTCTGCACTTAATCTTATTCAAATAGTTTGATATTACAATAGTTTGCTTTTAGCAGCATCATTGGTTCCTATTTCTGTACTGTATTTGCTGTTTGTTTCCTCAAAGAAGTTGCATTTCTTAAGAGGGGTTATCTTGAGGTTATCTTGAGATGATTTCGGGGCTTTAGTGTCCCCGCGGCCCGGTCCTCGACCAGGCCTCCACCCCCAGGAAGCAGCCCGTGACAGCTGACTAACACCCAGGTACCTATTTTACTGCTAGGTAACAGGGGCATAGGGTGAAAGAAACTCTGCCCATTGTTTCTCGCCGGCGCCCGGGATCGAACCCGGGACCACAGGATCACAAGTCCAGTGTGCTCTCCGCTCGGCCGACCGGCTCCCCAAGGGGTGACTTGAATTATGATATAACTTACTACTGTCAATCTTTGGAACTTAACCTTTCTGCGAAGGCTCTTATGGTGGCTCCCTGTTGCTAACAACCTGGATAGCTCCACCCAATTTGATGCATACCAGGTCCTTGTCAATCATTGTAAACCTACTGGGGACCAGAGGCCAAAACCTGGCACCCCCCCCCCTCCCTCTATAGAGGTGCAGGGATCTGAGGATGCGTTATGATAGTGCCTTCAAAAAAGTAGAGTGAGACAAAACAGTCACAAGCAAGGTAAACAAAACACAGAATATGAGACCCTGAAGCTATTCACCCAGTCATTAGGTGGTTCAGCCCCCTGGTATCAGCTGTATACTGCCAGTTGGTCATATACTAAGCTACTGGATTTGCTCAGCTGACACATCAAGCCATTTAGCTGGGTGTGAAGTATCGATCTGTCACTCTTGCTCACCTTGTTAATGCTAGTGCCATAAAGAGCATGAGCTTCTAAACCGTACCCTAGAGTACGAACTAACGAAACCTGTCTTTACTGTATAGAAGGTAAAGGACACTAGGGTATACCCTACAATAATACTAACAGTAATCAAATAATCAAATGCACTTGGGTTGACATTCCTCACCGCTACGGGCCAAACGCTACATGTGAGTTTGAAGGCTGCTAGGTTGCTCTGTACCCTTGTCTCAGGGTGACACTCACCCTTTGTGCCTCTGTCATGCTGCCTGTTGGGGCAATGACACCTTTGACCTGGAGTCCTGCAAGTAGTGTTCCTTGCTTGTACTCCAATTCACCCAGTCCACTGTTGTTGATATTCGGGTGTAGGTAGCTTCAGTGTTGCATACATGGTTTAGGGTGCTGCAACGAGGTAGGTTGGTTGCCTTTCCGGATGCCCCATAGCTGCCCCACTTGGTTATAGAGACCCAAACTTGGGGGGTGTCACCCTCTCCGTGGTGTTCAGGTAGGTGGCTTATTGAAGGTGTCCCCTCCTGCGGTTCTTCTGGCAACAGTATGGACTTTCTTGGCGGTCCTTTCGCCTCTTTCTGTTCCTTCGTTGTTGTTCTCAGTTCTGTCTGGGTTGTTTTGTCCTCTCTTTGGGGCTGTTTCTTGTTTCGGAGTCTTTTGCCAATTACTGTTGCCTCTTCTCGTGCAATGATGGTGGGGTTGTTCGTGCTTGCATTCAGTGTCATGCTGTTTTGTCCCTGTTTCGTGTGCTTGATCGCTCTCTTTTGCACCTTTAGCCTGCTCATGCGCTGTTTGAGCCTGCCTGGTCTCTGGACTGGATTTTTTTTCCTTCTGTTTATTTGTGTTGGCCCCTTTGATTTGTGTTTTGTATGCTTGGCCCTGGTGGGCGTTTGCTCGTTGGCTGCAGGCTCCTCCTTTTCTGACAAGGGTTGGGTCGGCTGTCTTCTGGTGGGGTCCTTTGTTTGTGGCTGCTTGGTTTCCTTGGCTGGGGGTGCGTCCTGCACGTTGTGGGTGGTGGTTTCGCTGCAGCCTTTATGGCACGGGTGCTGTTTCGGTGGCCTCATTGTTGGTTCCTTGGTTCCCTGTTCTGGGCCCATGTTTCTTGCATCTGCTGTGTCCTTTTTGCCAACCTGAGGTCTGTTCATATGCTCCTGATGTCCAGTTGTTTGGGCATGTTTTGGGCTGCTTTTCGAGTGTGAAAGGTTTTGGAACATACAGGGTATTGGCACCTGGTGTCTTGTGTTTGTTCTGGGTTCTTGGTGGACCTGTGTGACTTTGAGTCATGTGTTGTGATTGTCTGTCACTTCTTTGACTTGTTACCTGCAGTGTTGCAGCCTCTCAGGTTCGTGTCCCTTTTTCTCCTCTGTGGGTAGTTAGCTTCAGGGAGCCGACAGAGCTCCCCCCAGAAAACCAGCATTAAATGTAATGAAATGCCAATTTCTGGGTGAGCCACCTGAGGCTCCATAACACCCTCCCTCACCCCAGGGTGTCAGTGTTTTACATCATTATAGAACTGAAGGTGGTGGGACCCGGCTGACCTGGTCCGTCTCCGTCCTCCCCCCAAACAACAGGGGGGGGGGGGACCTAGTGAGTGCTAATTTCAGGAAATTTTGGTGGTTTGTTTACATTGTTGAGGAGTTCTTTTGGAAATTTTTGGGCTACGGTTTAGTTTTTAATTATGCAATAGCCTGTTTTGATTTGCCTATTATTCTGGGTGCCTTTCCTTGGATGGTAGGAAAGATAATAAACTTTAAATGTAAGGTGTTCATGTGCCTCTAAGAGGGGGGGGGCCAGGTTCTGGCTTGTGGTCCCTGGTTGGCAAATAGAACTCCACAACTGATGGTACTAAGTAGTAGGACACTTAATCAGTATGGTAGCTTCAAGGAACCTCTGGGACTCAGCCAGAAATTGGTGCTTCATTACATTCAACACTTGTGTTTTTCCTTGGGGGGCCTTGCATGATATTTTCCATTCATGAATAATCAAGTGAAGTGAGGGCAGTTTTTCAAGTATTCTTGGGCAGTGCTGCCTTGGTGCTGTCCTTGCCCCAGGATGTGGACATGTGGCAATTGCATGTTCAGTTGCCTATGCTTTCTGGGCTTGATATTGTGGGGGATCACAGGGTCTCTGCACACTTGGCTATTGTTTTGTGCAATAATATCTATGACCTATAACTTTTCATTGTATTTTTATTCCCTATTTTTATGTTGTTTGGTACCTTCTGTCCCAATGAAATTTGGAAGCAGGGTAGTAATAATAATGATGCTTATGAGCCCCCAAGAATTGCCTTTCTACAAGTTCATCATAAGATATCATCTAAGTCTGGGTTGATATACAGCACAGCATAGCACAGCACCCTTTACTGTGCTGTGTGAAGGGTGTTTTTATATAGATGCCTCAGAATCCTACCAAGACCATAAAATTTTGTTCTAGCCAGATAATTTCTTCAGTAATTCTCATCCATATTACAACACTAGCTTTATAAATTTTCTGAAAATTTAAACAGAATATTCTACATTCTTCATACAACAAAAACTTCTCGAAGCTTCATGACCTAATTGCTCCATAATACTGTATAATGATTTTGCAGAACTATCACAAACGAGGGGTGATGGCCTTGGCACTTCCTGTAGCGGTAAAATTTCTTCATAAAGGAAATCGTGAACTGAGCCGCAACATGAGTTCCTACCTCTCCTTGGCAGCCATTGAGGCAGCTGATCTCCTGGCCCTACATATTCAGCCTATTATTGACTCTGTGATATCAGGTCAGTTATTAGTTATTGACGAGCACTAATCTAGCGAACATGCTCAGGAAAGTGCTTTTCATGTAAAACTTAGTCTATTTCATAGTACTAGTATTCAATACAATAATTTATATCTCATTACTATTAGCAAAACACAAACACTTTGCTTCTTTTGCATTTGTACTTGTTAATGATGTGAGATGTTTGAAGGTTATCCATTGCTTCCTTCTCCACAGGCAACTACTCGCTGTCCCGTGTACTGCCGCAGATATATGCCGTTAAGAAAGAACCTATACATGACCATGTGATGACTCTGGTGTCTCTCCTGCCTCAGTGTGATACTAATGAAAAACTTGGACTCCTCATGCTTTTCTCACTTGTTGCCAAGAACAGACCGGCAGTAAGTAATCAGATTACATTGTTTCTCTGCATGCAACATTTGATTTTATGATAGATATGTTTAGATAGATGCTTTTAAAGATTAGCAAATACAGAGAATAAATCATAATAACATGACTAAAATGAATTACCCAACTCAAATGAAATTAAAAGAAAGTGACTACATTTAGGTCCATTCTGGTCCGCCACGATTTGACCAAGGATACAGGATTGACTGAAGCATCTTCACTTTCATTTAATTTCATGTTGGCTGGAATATCCTTGTTGACCTTGAACAAAACAAGGAAGGTAATGTGATTTGATCAAGAGGATCTTTTGAGCAAGGTGATGTCTATAATGAAGGCTTGTCCTTCACAGGTGTTTTCTTCAACTTATGGGAGGCTAGAGGGAGTACCTGGCATTACCCGAGATCTGTCCATTTCTTTCTCTTCCCCCTCCCTTCCTCCCTTGCACTCTCTCCCATTCTCCCTCCCTCCCATTTTCCCCTTCTGTTCTCTTCCCTTATTCCTCCCATTCTCTCCCCTAGTGTGGAAAGCATGCTCAAGTAATGTTGAATCAATGTTATCGATGTTGTTTCAGTGCGCAAAGAAATCACTTTAACGTGATGTATCAATGAGAAAATCAGTAGGACCCGCGAGGAGGATTAAAACCTATGCTCTGAGTACTCCCAAGTAAATGCCTTAGACCACTGTTTAGTGCCAAGCGACAAGGTACCATCAGTTGTGGAATTCTTATTTGGCCTACTGGGGGATCACAAGCCAGAACCTGGCCCCCTGAGAGAGATGCAGCAAGCAGTAGCACGTGTGAAAAATTTGATGTACCAATAAATTTATTCATGTTTGCCACCATCAAGGGAAGGCACCCAGAAAGTCGGTAAAACAAAGCAGACCACTGCTTGGTTAGAAACATGACCTCAGTCTGAAAACAGCCAAAATAACTCCCCTAACAATGTAAACAAATGATCAACAATTAGTGAAACCAGTGCGAGTTAGGGTGCTTCACCTCGCCCCTCATTTGGGCGAAGGAGGTAGGCAGACTGGGTCAGGCTGCTGTTCCACTACCACTTCTTATGCTGATGTGGACTGTGCCTGGTTGCCTTCTCAGTTTGCTCTGGCTCTGGTCTACTGTCTTAGCAAAGTTGTGTTTTGCCTTTGTGGGTTTTTCCTGTGCACAGTTGTGGAGCGTGATCCAGGAGTTTAGTGTGCTTGGAGCAAGGCATGTGCCCAGGGTTTCCTTCCCTGAGTGCTCCCAGGGAAGGAAGTCTGATCAATGTTCCCTTGTACATTGATCAGACATGCCTGGTTGCTGGTTTGATCAATCGGGCTGCTCGATGCAGCTGGTTGCAGTCTAACATATGAATCACATCCTGGTTGATCAGGTATCCTTTGAAGGTGCTTGTCGAGTTCTCTTTTTGAACACTGTGAGAGGTCGTCCAGGTATGCCCATTATGTGTAAGGTAAGAGTATTGAAAAGTCTTTCCTGCCTCCATCCCCCAGAGTGTTGGAGGCATTTCTATCATCATAAGAGCTGGTGGTGGAGCAGCCCGCTGACCCAGTCTGCCACCCTCCTTCCCCCCCCCCTCCAAACAAGGGGAGGTGGGGGGGTGAACTAACTCGCACTAGTTTAACATTTTTTATTGCATTGTTAGGGGAGTTCTTTTGACTGTTTTGAGGGGTGTGATTTTTTTAACCAAGTGGTAGTCTATTTTGTTTCATTAACTTTCTGGGTGCCTTCACTTGGTAGTGACAGACATGAATAAATTTACATAAAATTTTCATAAGTGCCACTGCTTCTTGGGACTCTCTGAAGGGGCCAGGTTCTGTCTTGTGGTCCCAAATTCAGCCAAATAAGAAATGATGGCACCTTGCAGTTTGCACTATATCAGAATAGTAGCTTCTGGGAGCAACTGGGGCTCATCCAAAAATTTGCTTTTCATTACATTCAACGCTCATTTCTGTGGGGAGCCCCTACGGCTCCCTGGAGCTTATCGGGCTAATGTGTTTTATATTAGACCGGGACATTAGCTACGGAGTTCGGATCTACCAGGGACCACGAGCTAGAACCTGGCCCCTTCAGAAAGGGTTTCAGGGATGCTTTGCTCCTCTTCAGATGACTGATGTGTCTCCGGTCTGGCTTCTGTTGGGGCCGAGTGCTTGGATGGTGTCCCTGGATCTCCAGGATGCTTCTTGGCATATTTCTATCCTCCAGGGTTCTGGGACCGGCATACAATGTAGTTAGTGGTGGGGCTTTAGGTTTGCCGCTTTGGGTTTGCCGCTTTCGTTGCCTTAGTTTGCATCTGGGACCTCGCATATTTATGCGTCTTAGCCGGGCCTTCGTGACCTGTCTGCATCTGCTTGGGTTTCGGGTTCTGGCCTACCTCGACAACTGGCTGGTGTGGGCTCCCAGTCAGTCCTCTTGTCTACTTGCCAGTGGTATGATTTTTCCAGCTCGCTGGGTTCAGTTTTCTGGTGACCTAGAGGAGGTCCCTTCTGGTTACGTTCCGGGTTCGGACCAGGTTGGGTCTTGTTTGGGACTTCTCGGACCGCTTCCAACCACGCGCTAGTTGGCCTGTACGCGTATCAACACCCTCATCTTCCAAAGCAACCCTCGTATTCCGATGTAAATTTTCCGAGCAAATCCTGCTCGTATTCCGAAAAACGCGTATACAGGGACGCTCATATTCCGAGGTACCACTGTAAAGGTACTTATAAAATCAAGGGATGATTTGTTTAGCTACTTTTATAGTACTATATTGTATTAATAAAATTAATTGTTAAACTTTGGCTCTTTTTTTTCAGTATTGGATACAGACCTTGTCTTTGTTTGCAAATGTATAAAAATGTTCTTATTGCATTATCTTCGTTTCTATCTTGTGCATTATAACTTGGCTATGTGTATGAATGTCTTGCAAGTATTAAACCCATTTGTAAACATCAGTAACTCTGTGTGTTTGTTTCACATTACAAGGAGCTGGTATGAGTAAAATTATATATGATTTCAGCTTCTTGAACCATCACTGCCACAACTAGTCGAGTGTCTGAGCATCAGCGGTACATCTATGGCCACCTTGCAGATATTTGTGGAATTATGTGCTTGGCGACCTCACCCGTTCTCAGAACATGTGACCAGACTGAAGAGTATAGTAGAGCAGCAGCCTCACTGTCTTGCCCTTGCCTTGCAGGTTAGTGTGCTTCCTGTCTTAACAACTAAACCTACCAAGTTGACTTTCCTGTGGTTTATTCTGTCCCATCTTTCTCAACAACCCCACATTGCTGCTCCTTAAAGAAAGATCTGTTGTATCCTTAACCCTAAGACAGCGGTTATTGTCATTTGTTGATTCACAGTGTAATGCAGTTATCATTATATGAATATATAAACAATTATTGTCTGTGTTTTACATGTATAATGCAAATATGAGTAATATAGGACTGTGAATGTAATTGAGTTTACCTTGACCCATGGACAAAAATTCTGCTAACATTACATGGTACAAATGTAGTTATCGTCATTAATGTTACTAGGGGAATGCGGTCATCTTCATCATATCATGATTTAAACAATTATTGTCTGGGTTTTACATGTATGATACAAATATAGATATAAAAGCTCTACATTGATGTAAATAAAAAAAAAAGTAATAAAACAATCAGTGAAACATGAGAGGGTAAAACAGGAAGAGTGAGCAAAGCTGAGCACCAGGTGTTGACAAGTGCCAGTTGCAGCCTTGCAGAGCGCCTCCATCCTGAGAAATGATAAACATTCACTTACTTTCATGTGTTTCTTACATTCTGCATACACATTAATAATTCTATAATGAAAAATGATTTGTTGGAATATTTTTGTTTCCTGTTGGCTCCCCAGAGCTAACTGGGCTGATATGAATGTATTTGACCCTGGCATCAGTCAAGCAAATGGAGTTCTTAGGCTTACCAGGGACCATGAGCCAGAACCTGACCCCCTCAGAGAGAAACGAGGAACAATGGCCTATAGAAACCCCATGTGGTGAGAAGCATTCTATGTCTGCCATCAACTGAGTCAGGCACCCAGAAAAGTAAGTGTCCCAAAACAAACCTCTATTCTGGTTAAGAAATTGCTACTGAAAGCCGAACTAGTGGACAACTTCCCAAATGAAAACGAGTAAACAAGCATGTCGTCACCACGTCACCACCCCGCTGTCTGCACATCTGCAGGAGCCACAGACCCCCGTGCCAGCTATCCACCCTGCAGTTCTGTGGCTGATGTGAGGCCGGCCCCAAGAGCAGTAAGTACTGCTCTTGGGGTCATCTTCCACAAGTCACCTTGGGGGTTACCTCCATAAGGTTTTTTGCAGCTCGGTGATTGACTGTCCTTGAAGTCAGTTGGAGTGTTTCCTTCACTCCTGTTTACCTCTGGGTAGGGGGTAGTATTCGTCACTGATTGGGGCGCAGAGTACCGTGCAGCTAGTTGTAACCTCCTATGGCGGCCGGCTCTGTTCTGCCTGGGTACGTTGTCCTCTTGCGGGGTTTTTCTTTTGTTTCATTTTCTTCCCTAGTGGGGGGGTCTGCCCCTTGGTTTTGATCTCACCTGCTTGTATCTTGGTGGTCCCTTGCTAGGCTCCCCATGAGTTAACACGTCCCAGGAAGGAGACAGCTTTAGCAGTTTGTTGGTAATTTTTGGCGCCGGTTAACAGTACCATGCCTGGGCTTCCCTGACCGCGAGTTCTGTCTCAGGACCCTGGGAAACCCCACGGGGACGCATGGGTCCGATAAAAGCGATCCCTGGGTTCCCTCTCGCCTTGTGCGAGTTTGAGGGTTTCTCGGTCTTCTTGTTTCTGGGTGACCTTCACCGTTTATGCCTCCGTCATGCTGCCTGCTGAATCTGTGACACCTTCGACCCGGAGTCCTGAGAGTTTTGTTGCTTGTATGTGATGCTGTACACCCAGTCCACTGATGACTCTATTCGGGTGTTGGCAGCTCAGGCGTTGCACTCTCATTTTGGATGGCTGCAATGCTCTAGGTTGGTTGCTGGCTCGGAAGCCCTGAAGGTGCCCTGTTTAAGTTACAGGGACCCCGGACTTGGAGGTGTTAGTCGCTTTGACTTTAGTTCAGTCCTTGCCCCCTCGTCCTTCCCCCCTCGTCCTTCCCCTGCTGTGGGAAGTTTCTGTTTATGCAGAAGCCTGAAATTTACCCTGATGGTTTACCCGCTGGGTTGGGTTTGGCCTTATTGGCTGTTGACCCGGTTTCCCAGGACATCCATAGGGTTATTTGGTCCAGCCAGCCTGTGGTCTATCCTCATGCCTTCGACGTTTGTAAGTTTACTGCACTGGCTGCCACCTTCGGTAACATGTCTTGGGATGACATTCGTGCACAGGGTTTTTGGAGGTCGAACAGGGTCCTGGCTGCTCGCTACCTTGTCAGTGTCCCTGGGCCTAGTCGGGCCTGTGTCACATTGGGTTGGTGGTTGCAGCCAGTTGTCTCGACTTCGCGTTGGGGAGCGAGGGCCGACCGCCTCCTGGGTTTTGTCTTTAGGTTAGTAGCTCCTGGGAGCTGAAGGGGCTTCCCTCAGAAAAGCAGCATTGAATGTAATGAAACACCAGTTTCCGGGCGAGACCTGAAGGCTCCCCGGCATCCCTCTGGTCGCCGATTTTTTGGGATTTTTGACATCCAGCCTCTGAAACTGAAGGGTGGATTGCCGGCATGGGGGGTCTGGGGCCCGTCCCCTTTCCCCTGCAGGAAAGGGAAGGTTGCGCAGACAGCCAGTGGACAGTTTTGTCCACTACTTTGGCTTTCAGTAGCAATATTTTAACCGGAATAGGGGTTTGTTTTGGGGCACTTAACTTTCTGGGTGCCTGACCCGGCAGGCACCCTGTCTGTCGATGGCAGACATAGAATGCTTCCAACCACATGGGGGGTTTCTATAGGACATTGCTCCTTGTTTCTCTCTGAGGGGTCCAGGTTCTGGCTCGTGCTCCCCGGTAGATATAGAACTCCATGCACACTGATGCCTGAGTCTAATACCTGTACATTGATATCAGCCTGGTTAGCCCCGGGGAGCCTCCGGGGATCTCACCCAGAAACTGGCGTATCATTACATTCAACGCAGATTTTTTGTCATGTTTTGCCATAGGTTTGTTTTTCATGTGTTTACTAAACTTTCAGGTGATGGCTGCAGTAGGGAGAATCAGCAAGGAGAAAGGCAAGAGTTCCTTGGATTACATTGCTCAACAACTTCCCAAAGTTGACTCAAATAGTTTAGGTGTTGGTAAGTGAAGTTAAATACTATTATGGGTTGTGTTTCCTTTGTTGGTTTGTATTGGGTTTAATACAAACAGTATTGCCAAAGACAGCCGAAAGAGCGGCATAGTTCCTAACATCATGGGCGTGAGGGGTAGACCACAGGTTGGCTGAACTAAATGACACTGCGGACAACCTGCGAGATACGAGCTCTGGAACACGGAACCAGGGAAACCGGAGCAACTTGCCCTAACCAAACATTAGGGTGGTGCTTCGGCTCTTCACAGCATTTTCTTCCCCTCTTTTTCTTCAGGGGGTGGGTGGGGGGGAGGGGCACTGCCCTGCATGTTTTGGCTTTCTGATGTTTTGATGTTCAGCCCTTGCTTCTTCCCTGCCTCTTGCATTCCTGTCATCCTTCCCTGCCATTGGTCATGTGTTTTTTCGTGTCTGGGCGCATGGGGGTGCGCATTGTTTGGGTTTCTGTTCTTCATTCTTTTGGCCACCACTCTTGTGCTGCTGTGTTCCTTCGGTGACAGGCTAAGGTTGCTGCTTATCTGTTTTGTCCTGCTTTTGTGTTCATGGTCGGAGTGGGTTGTCCTGGTGTCTATCCTCTGTTTCCCTGGTGTGCATGGTTTTCTGTTCTCTGCACCTTGGGGGCTTTGTTTCCAGGTTCTGGACTTGGTTCCTGGCCCGCCCCACACCGTTTTGCATGCTTGTGCAAATATATATTCTTTGGCTCTGGAATTTCCTGAGAACAAGGGAATTTCAAGGAAATAACCAGAATTGTATTAGGTTTCCTGAAGATTTCATTTTGTACAAACGCACTTTAGAACATTTTCGTTTAATGTTTCACACATTTCCTTTTCATTTTCCATGAATCCGTAACCCAGTTCTGTGTGGGATCTGGTTTTGTTTGTGTTTGGTTTCTCCTACACTATTTGGTTGCGATCCTCCGTTCCAGTGTTTTTCTGGTTGGCAGCCTGTCTTTTGGCTGGCAGGTGTGGGCACCCTGCCAGTTGGCAGCTCTGCTTGGGCAGGTTCTGTTTTTTTCCCAGCTGGCCGGGTTCGGGTTCCTGGTCGGTTGGTGAAAGTCCTAGTTAGTTCTGTCCCGGGTTCGGACTGGGCTGTGCCTTGGTTGGGATTCTTGGACGGTATCCGGGTCTTTTTTCCCTGTGCCATTGCTCTAGCTGCGGTTCTGCCTTCAGCTGTTTTTGAGGGGGTCCGGGGCCGCTCGGTGGTTGCTCGAGCGGCTGTGTGGAAGTCTGAACTTTGCTGTGATCATGTACCTACTAGGTTGGGTTTGGTTGCTGTGTTCTGGTTCATTTGGGGCCGTCCCTGCCACATCTCTTGGGATCACTGACTTTGTCCCCCGGGAGCCTTGCATTGGCTGCTGCATCGCCTTCTTCCTCTTAGAACTTTTTGGGGTTTGGTACTTTGGCGCCTTCCAGAGCCCTGCCTCAATGTGTTCACAGATGCCTCCTCTATAGGCTGGGGGTTTGTGACCAGTGCTCAACAGGCCGGCCTGCGGTGGTGGGATCCGTCCTTCTGTCGAGCTCACAGTACGGTGCGGGAGTTTTCAGCCTGTTGTGTGCACTGCATCGCATTTGGCTTGCTCGGGGCTCTACGATCTGGCTCCATTCGGACTGCACTCCGGGGGGTTCATTGCCTAAACCGCGGGGGGGTCTCTGTGGTCCATGGCTCTTTGGGGCTGGTTGCTTCGGGTGGCTCTTCTGCCGAGTTCTCAGGGTTTACCTCTCTGTGCGGTTCATTTCCAGGACGTGTCCAACGTCCTAGTAGACAGCCTGTCACAGTTCATTCCTCTGTCCACTGTATGGATGGTCGACGCCGATTCAATCAGCTGGCTCTGTTGGACGTTCTGGCTTCTGAAGGTGGACCTCTTTGTGTCTGTGTGGTTAAGGGCGCCTGTCTATGTGGCGCCCGTCCCCAACTGTAAAGCCTTCGCAGTAGGAGCTTTTCAGCTGTTGCTTTGAGTTCTCGCTCAGCTTGAGTCCTATCGGTGGAGGGTTCTCCTTCTGGCCCCATGGTGGTCAGCCCAGCCTTGGTTTCAGGCGTTGCTTGCTTGGTGTCCGATCCCAGGGCGTTTTCCATGTCTCCGCTTCTTTCAACAGATCGGGCCAGTGAGGTACCTTGCTGGTTCGCTCTTGTCTTCCCCGCTTCACATCTGAAGCTTCTGACATGGGTGTATCACCGTCTGTATGGTAACTGGGTGGCTACTCTAATTGTGTCCCACCTGCGGTCTTCTTCTCAGCGGCAGTATGAAGTCTTGTGGCGGTCTTTTCGCCACTTCCTTTCCCTGCGTAGGTTGTCTTCGGTTTCGGGTCGTGTTGTGTTGCTTTTTCTTGGTTCTTTCCGGACAGGCATCTTATGCCGAATACTGTCACCTCGTATCGTGCGACGCTGGTGGAACTGCTCCAGCTTGCATTTGGGGTGGATGTCACTTCAGCTCCGTTTCGCAAAATTTCTAATGCCTTTTTCCACCTCCGGTGTGGTCATGCGCCACCCGAGCCGTCCTGATCTTTGAACCGAGTGCTCTCCTTTCTCTCTCTTCTCTTCAGTTTGTGGTGGCCACTTTGATCCACGACTGTTTCCAGAAGGCTTTGTTCTTGTTAGCTTTGGCTTCTGGGGGTTGGGTCGGGGAGCTTCATGCTCTCCTCCGATGCAGAGGGTTTTGCTCTTTTGGCCTTCGAGCCGGGACAAACCCCCTCTTTCCCTCCCGGGGGTAAAGGGTTAGCACGAGCGAGTAGCGTGCGGTGTGGTGACTTGTTGCTTGTTTTCCTTGGAGAAGTTTCTAGCTTCTGTTCGATTTCAGGTTGCAATTTTTCTACCAGGAGGGGTCTGTTTCGGAGTGCCTACCTTTCTGGGTGCTCAACCCCAGTCGATGGCAGACATGAATGCTTTCATACATGAGTTTCATAGGCCATTGCTCCCTGCGCCTCTGAGGGGACCAGGTTCTGGATAGTGGTCCCCTGTAGGCATGACAAGTCCATATGACTGAAGCACCCATCTAATATTAGCTAATATCAGTCCAATAGCTCCAAGGAGTCTCCGGGGCTCTACCCCGAAAATAGCGTTTCATTACATTCAACGCTGGTTTTTTTGCATTGTCGACAATGTCTTTAAAACATAGTGTTTACCAAATTTTTCAAATAAAATCATAACTTTATTCATAAATGTCAGTATTGTACATTTATGGTAGAGTTAGTTTACACAAATTTACAGTAAATTTTTCACCCAAGAGAAGGTCAGTCACAACATGAAATACTGTATTGATAATAATAATAATGTAAAATATGTACAGTTAGTTATAAACTGTATACTCAAGAATTAGATTTAGATTTAGAAGCTACATTTATAAATTCTTTTAAAATCACTATAGTGGTTAAATTCAAAATGAAAAACTAATTCAGTAACAACTTAAACAAATTATTGCAATAATGGCCAAACTAAGCAGGTGTAGTCTAAATCAAATTTTACATCTTGGCATAAAATAAGTAACAGTGAGCTTACTGTTTGAAAGGTGATATATATGTATTGGAAAGTAAAGTGCAGTTTACCATTAAAACTGACAAATATTTCCACACTTTACATTACAAATGTAGGACAATGAAAATACAATTTTAAGGAGTGATATAAACTAATCAATGAATTTATACAAAAAATGGTCACACTCATCACTCTCAATTAACAGATTCTAGGCTCTCCTGGATCAGAATCACTCCCAAGCTTTCTAATAATACACAAATATTGTCAAAATGGTTTGGTCCCCTTAATATGTAGGTATATTGTAGATAGTTGTAGGTAATTAAAGTAGTGTGGCACCAGTTACCTGTAGGTGATGAGCTGGGTCCTAAGAGCTAAGCCTCTCCACATGAACATTTTGATGGGAGCTTTGAGTGTCTCTTAAAAATAATAGAAGACATTGTCATCTTGGACAAGATTTAGTTGTCCAAAACACTATGAACCTTTCACAGTAATTTTGCTCCTTCAGTCAAATATTTTGCAACTCATATTTGCAACTTTATGAATTTTGTTTTCAGTTTTGCGTGAGGTGCAAGTGTTATGTAGCCAGTACCCAGCACTCCTGGTGGAATCCGAGTCCTTACTTACTGCTGTTAACAAGTGTACAGACCGCTCCAACACTTCTGCCAGAGTCTACATCCAGCAACTGAATAATGAGTACAATGAAATAAGGTAAAGATAAGAATATACAGGTACCAGTATTTCACATTTTAGGGACATTTAAATCATGCACAGCACCCTCAGTTGTGTGTGTGTGTGTGTGTGTGTGTGTGTGTGTGTGTGTGTGTGTGTGTGTGTGTGTGTGTGTGTGTGTGTGTGTGTGTGTGTGTGTGTATATATATATATATTAGTATATTTTGGTAGCAGTCTTTCCTGTAGACATATATTATTAAATATGACCGAAAAAGTAAGATTAATAATTCTAACACGAATTTTCTCAATCTTTCGTACATTTCTTTTCACTGTTGGTGGTAATTCAAAAATCAATTCTCCAAAATTCATTTTTATTTCTAGTCTGATGCGACACTTGAGCGCGTTTCGTAAAACTTATTACATTTTCAAAGACTTTAGTTAACACATACACAACTGTTGTTGTGTATGGGTTTTCCTCACAGTCAGGGGGAAATTTTGATTACAGTATAGCCATATTTAGAGGGATAAAGGTTAACAATATGAGATTTCTATCTTTGTTTTCCTTAAGAACACTTGGAATGTCCAGTCAGTAAGGTGCAGGTTCAGGTGGCCCTTTAAAATAATTAAATTTTGGGATTTTCAACTATTAATCTATTAATTTCTCCTTTTCCAGAAACACCAATGTAAACCACACACCGGGTGGGGTGACCATTGTTCGTGTGGGTGGTAGTGGTGGGAAAACAGATGCTGTGGTTGGCTCAAGTCGCACAGATCTCAGCCTTGCTACGCGTGACCTGAGTATATTCCAGCCTCATTCATCAAGTGCAACTGGTGTTGGAAAATTTGGCAACAAATACCAGAAGCACAGTGACACTTCGAGAAGTACCGGGCGACTGGTCACAGCCTCCAATAGGTCCATGCCCAGATTAAATGCTTGTAAGTATTGTACTGGCACTGGATTTTTTCATAGCTGCTGATGCAATGCTTTATTAGAAAAATTTATTAAAATTCTGCATTAACAATTTAAAACTGTACATTTCTACCTTGAACAAAATTTATAGTATTTTGTACTGTAAGCTAGAAAAGACTAAATATCAACTGAGGAATGCTTTTGACGAATGTGACTATGAAGTCATCGCGCACAAAATGCAAATAAGGTAATTAGTAGCGAAGTAGGAAGATGGATCTTTATTTTCTAATGAACAGAGTGTAGTAATAATGTAATAGTCTATGAAGTGAAATCCTGGTCATCCTCTGTGGAGACCTCAGTCCTCCAGGGTACTGTGCTTGCTCTGGTACTTTTTCTCATCCTCATATTGGACACAGACATGGACACAAATTATAGCACATACTTTGCAGATGACATGAGGAGTTTCATGAGTAGAAAATATATAGAACACAGCTGATGTTATTAACCCCAAAACTGATGTTAATTAGGCCTTTCACTGCAAAACTTTCACCTTCACTGGGCCACAGTGTGGCCCAGTGAAACCTGCCATTTTATTAGGGAGCCAGTTTGTTATGTTAAACAATAACATGTTGTTTAATGAAGTTAAGTTCCAGCTACTGCACGTTGGAAAAGATAAAAATATCAAAATGGAAACCACACACAACAATCAATCAAATCACATTATTAAATGACAAATGCAATACGGGAGATTTGGGAGTAATCATGTCAGAAGACCTTACATTTATGGAACACAATAAAGTAGCCATCACAACTGCAGTAAAAATGGCAGGTTGGATAACAAAAACCTTTCAAACAAGATATGCCAGACAAGTGATAATCAGTTTTAAGACACAAGAGTTCTCTATGGTGGAATATTGTTTCACATTAACAGCCCCATTCAGAGCTGGAGAAATTACTTATCTAGAGAGCATGCATAGGTCTTATACTGCCCAAATACAATTATTGGGAACACTTAAAATTATTACATCTGTGCTCTCTAAAGTGCAGGCAGGAGAGATTCATAATCATTAACACTGAAAATATTAGAGGGACTGGTCCCACAACTACACAAAAATAACTTCACATGAGATCAGGAGGCATAGCAGGAGGAGCAAAGTAGCCCTGTTAAAAACCAGAGGTGCAGTAGATGTGCTAAGAGAGAATTCTATCAACATTAAGGGACCAAGAGACATTACACCTTTGAGTGATTAATTAGTGTCTCTTCCATCCTAGGGTGATATTGAAGAGCTAACCTAAAGGTACTTCCAGTGACACTGGTTTATCACTCAAATCATTAGTGTGTATGATTGTATATATATAATGTGTATTATTTTAAGTGCTAACCTCTAGTAGAGGTAGGATTATTGCCTAGTGAGTTCAGAATTTACCCTAGGCTACCATCAGTGCTTGTTCAGTATTATGAGCAGCCCAAATACAAGCCCCACAAGGCTTCACCAACTAGCCAGGATGGATAATGCAGGGAGAATGAAAAGAACCCTTGCAGGTCTTAAAGGCCACTTAACAAGACAGATCAAGAAATGTGAAGATTTGTCACAACAATCAACAGTTGATTATGCTGACCTGGAAAGCTATTATCAAGCAGCTGCAGGTAAATTTGAGCAAATCAAATGCCAAATGGCTGTCCTTGTGGGGACAGACTACTACCATCAATTCATTGGTAGCCCTACTAAATATCAGGGCATAACCATGTTAAACTCTGCAGGAGGTAAATTACTCTCAGGCCCAGTATCAAGCCTGAGGAGACCTATGCCTGCAGATAAACAATACCAGTAGAAATCTAAATTTGTCAGCTGATTATATTTCTCCAGTAGCATTATACTAAGGAGATTACAGCTGACTATACCAACAGAGGTTGATGTTAGTATCATCATTTAAAGCTGGAGATGAGTTCATGAGGCCTCAGTGGCAAATCAGTGAACAGTAGCCTAAAACAGCTACAAGTCACTGCGACCAATGTCACTGAAACCCACTGCAGTCTCAGAACCATACTTTACTTTAATGATGAGCTATTCAATCCTCTGAATCAATTAATTAAATTAAACCCCAATAAATCTGATGACTGATTTGATACATTTATTATTTAATCAAGATGTATTCCATGGGCCTCAGTGTTTATATATCAGTGACCAGTTACCTGAAGAAACTTCAAGTTATATCTGATGTCACTGATCTCACTGCAGTCCCTGAATCATACTTGACTGTAGTACTTGATCACATTCAGTCTTCTGGGTTAAATAATATGTAATTAGGCTTGAATATTAGCCTTTCAAGAGTTGACAGGGAAATGAAATCGCATTAGACTTCTAACCCCTACAACTCTAGTACGGACATCCGTCCTGTACGAACAGACACACAAATGTGTGATTACTAACTACTAACATCAAATTAATCTAATAATTCGAAGGAGGAGTATCGGTGTTCGTCTGTTCTAAACAGGACTTCGACCCGTGAGCAGCCCCCTGGGGAATTATGTCGGAAAATCCGACACCATTTAATAATAATATCATACAGACAGATAATAGCTGTGTTGTATAAACAAGTTACCATAGAAAACGTAACTTGTAGTGGAATTACCGTCTAAAGAAAACGGGATATCATCACCACATACTATTATAATTCACCAGCTATTTTGCTGGGAATTATTCTTAAATACATTAGTCTTTGGACTAAGTGAAATCCTGGTCATCCTCTGTGGAGACCTCAGTCCTCCAGGGTACTGTGCTTGCTCTGGTACTTTTTCTCATCCTCATATTGGACACAGACATGGACACAAATTATAGCACATACTTTGCAGATGACATGAGGAGTTTCATGAGTAGAAAATATATAGAACACAGCTGATGTTATTAACCCCAAAACTGATGTTAATTAGGCCTTTCACTGCAAAACTTTCACCTTCACTGGGCCACAGTGTGGCCCAGTGAAACCTGCCATTTTATTAGGGAGCCAGTTTGTTATGTTAAACAATAACATGTTGTTTAATGAAGTTAAGTTCCAGCTACTGCACGTTGGAAAAGATAAAAATATCAAAATGGAAACCACACACAACAATCAATCAAATCACATTATTAAATGACAAATGCAATACGGGAGATTTGGGAGTAATCATGTCAGAAGACCTTACATTTATGGAACACAATAAAGTAGCCATCACAACTGCAGTAAAAATGGCAGGTTGGATAACAAAAACCTTTCAAACAAGATATGCCAGACAAGTGATAATCAGTTTTAAGACACAAGAGTTCTCTATGGTGGAATATTGTTTCACATTAACAGCCCCATTCAGAGCTGGAGAAATTACTTATCTAGAGAGCATGCATAGGTCTTATACTGCCCAAATACAATTATTGGGAACACTTAAAATTATTACATCTGTGCTCTCTAAAGTGCAGGCAGGAGAGATTCATAATCATTAACACTGAAAATATTAGAGGGACTGGTCCCACAACTACACAAAAATAACTTCACATGAGATCAGGAGGCATAGCAGGAGGAGCAAAGTAGCCCTGTTAAAAACCAGAGGTGCAGTAGATGTGCTAAGAGAGAATTCTATCAACATTAAGGGACCAAGAGTTTTCAACACTGCCTGTAAATATAAGGGGCTGTAAATATAAGGGGCATGGGACAACTAGCCAACCTCTCATGGTGTTAAAGAGAGAACTTGATAAGCCCCTCCAAAGAATATACCTGATCAACCAGGCTGTGACTTGCACATTAGACTGCACGCAGCTGCATCTAAAATCCTGGTTAACCAGACCACCAACCAGGAGATCTGGTCATAGACCAAGCCTTGGGAACATTTGATCCAGGAACCAACACACAGTAAACACAAGGTAAGGTGAGGACTGGTGTTGCCTCCCTAAGTTGGCGGCAATGAAAAAGCTTGTTTAATTATATTTATGAAATAGAATTTTCTCTTGTTTAATGTTTTAAAGCTCTTGTTTATTTTAATTACAGTGCCTCAAAGTACTGGTCGCCTCGGATCATCCTCTATTCAACTGAACAAATCCATGACACGCCTTAGTTCCTCACATGGTATGCACATGAATCGCTCAATCACTGTTCTTGCCCCTCCATCACGTCACTTTTCTGGCCATCTTGGACCAAGTTCAGGGCACTTGGGCCATGGTTCAGTTACTGGCCACCATCTAAGCGGATCTCAAGTTGGTGGCTCGCAGATTGGAGTGTCACGGTTGGTGTCTAGTCCCCCTCCACCTCATGGCATTCCTTTGTCTGCTATATCACCACTTCCAGGTGAGTGCAAAATTAATGATTCATATAAAAAATAAAGTACGGTATCTAATAGTATAAGTGTTTATATGTTTTTTTAAGCATTAACTTTTTTGGCTCCTATTTAAATGTTGGCTGGCAAACTAGAATCTTCGTTTACCCATAGCGGTACTGTACTACCAGTGGGATAATGGTAAGGTATGATTTTTTGGGAGTGGTCCCTTAATGACTTTCTGTAGCTTTCTCACTGAGATTGCTCCATACAAGAAATCACATCAGTTGCTGGAATTCTGTTTTCCCTACTGGGGGACAAGAGCCAGAGCAAATGACATTCTACCACTTCACCAGTAAAGCATTCAGAAAGTAAGGAAGCTTTACAGACAACTACTGGGTTTCAAGACTTGAAACATTGAATCTGCTAAACAACTCTTTTAAATGATTTAGCTGAACCCAAATGATTGTCTCGAATCTAGCTCGATCTTGTTAGCACCGATCACTGGTGGCTCCCTGTCTCCGTTTCTCCCTTCCAGTTTCACCGGTTCAGGTGATTTTTATCTGCTCCAGAAGTGAGTGGCTAGGTGATGGAGGACCGAGCTCTGGGCCTTCAGGTGGCAGCAATTGGTATGATTGCGTTCGAGCTAGTTTTGTGTGAATTATTGCATTTGGTTTTAGTTTAATCTGTTGGGGAGTTGGTTGGCAGTTTCCAAGATTCAAGTTTTGTGAACCCAGTGGTTGTCTGTAAAGCTTCGTTGACTTTCTGGATGCTATCTCAGTGAGATGGCTACAGGGAGCCACTAGAGCTCTACCAAAAGAGGTATTTCATTACATTCAACACTGGGTGTCTATGCTATTATTGGTGATTCAGATAGATTGGTTTTCCTCATAGTTCAGTAAGATTTGTCAGCCTGCTTCATTTTCTTAATCCATAATATCTTACTGTTTCATAAATTTTAGAACTATATTGGTTAAGTGATACAGTATATGTTTTAGCAATAAAGCGAGTGGCATATAAAAGAAAAGGTAATATAGCAGGTAACTCGGTCTTAAAATTATAAATTGATTTGATAAATGGTACTGTAGTTGCAGCTTCTTTTAAATGTATTGGATGAAATTAATGGATAGTAAATCCATCCCAGTGTTGTCAAAAATGTCATATTAATAAGGGCAAATTGTCAATGATGTTCCAGGAACAGTGAGTCCTACCAAGAGTATGAGCTCTTCATTAGCAACACTACGAGAGGGAGCTGGAGAGCTTTGTGCTTCATCAGGCGTGCTAGGTGGTCCCCACCAGTCTCAAGTAACGCTCCTGCCTCCAGATCTGCCTCACACAACCACAGTAACATCCATTGGCCATCATACTTTGTCACTGCCACTCCACTTGTCATCTCGAGAACTTGGTTAGCAGTTGTGAGAACACTGTCAGTCTGTGTATTTATGTCAAAGTTTATTGCCTGTGTGTGTAATTACCTAAGTGTAAATACCTAAGTGTAGTTACAGGATGAGAGCTACGCTCGTGGTGTCCCGTCTACCAAGCACTCTGTTATATAATGCTTTGAAGCTACTGACAGTTTTGGCCTCCACCACCTTCTCACCTAACTTGTTCCAACTGTCTACCACTCTGTTTGCGAAAATGAATTTTCTTATATTTCTTCGGCATCTGTGTTTAGCTAGTTTAAATCTATGACCTCTTGTTCTTAAAGTTCCAGGTCTCAGGAAATCTTCCCTATCGATTTTATCAATTTCTGTTACTGTTTTGTACGTAGTGATCATATCACCTCTTTTTCTTCTGTCTTCTAGTTTTGGCATATTTAATGCCTCTAACCTCTCCTCGTAGCTCTTGCCCTTCAGTTCTCGGAGCCACTTAGTAGCATGTTTTTGCACCTTTTCTCGTTTGTTGATGTGCTTCTTAAGAGGTCACGCCCCGAGCGTGCGGGCAACCGCGCGGCAACACTGAAATGTGTATATTCGTTTCAGTTTTCTCACCTTATTTCTTGTACTACGTCGTTCGTTTTGATATCATTGTGTTTGCAATAGCATTCCCTACAGGTGTATATGCATATAATGTCCAAAAGCCTGGTGTGACTCCCAATAGCAAAGCCTAAAGTCGGCAAAAGTTACCCGTGAGCACACAAAATCAGTAAAATGTGTATACTCGTTTTGTTTTCTCACCTTATTTCTTGTACTACGTCGTTCGTTTTGGTATCATTTTGTTTGCAATTAAATTCCCTACAGGTGTGTGTGCATATAATGTACAAAAGCCCGGCGTGCCTCCCCGCAGGAAAGCCTAAAGTTACCTGTAAACGAGCACCAATTGGCACACCACAACCTAATGTGTATACTCGTTCAGTTTGATAACATCAATTTTCATGTTATGTCTTTCATTTTGGTATCAAATTGTTCGCAATAAAAAGGCGCGTATTTTAAAATTAGTCCCATAATAATACAGCAAAAACTGGAATTTTAACAAATATTTTAATTCTTGGAACTCATCATCACAAAATTATTTCTTTCTTTCTAGTGTTCTGACATAAATGTTTGTGTTACATCTTTCATTTTGGTATCAAATTGTTTGCAATGTAAAGGCGTACATTTTAAAACTAGTCCCAAAATAATAGCACAATAAAAAGAATTTTAACAAATATTTTAAAATTTTGACCAAAAACGTATTTATAATTTTTCAAGTGTTCTGACATCAAGTTTCGTGTTACATCTTTCATTTTGGTATCAAATTGTGCGCACTCTAAAGGCGCTTATTTTGAAACTATCCCGAAGTCGATCGGATAAAAAATAAATTTTATACAATATTTTGGTAATGGACACAAGCACTGTCCACAGCTAGGACTCAAGAGAAAAAAAGTGGATGTGATCGGTGTCCAAAGCGAGCGATTGTGTTAGGTGAGAAGGTGGTGGAGGCTAAAACCGCTAATAGTTTCAAAGCGTTATACGAGTGCTGAGAAGATGGGACATCACGAGCATAGCTCTCCTCTTGTAACTACATTTAGTAATTACATACATATATGTATATACACACAAATATATATATACTGTGTGTTTACTAGTTGTGTTGTGTTTTTACGGGGGTTGAGCTTTGCTCTTTCGGCCCGCCTCTCAACTGTCAATCAACTGTTTACTAACTACCTTTTTTTTTTTTTTTCCTTCTCCCATTTCTTTTTTTTTCATTTTTTTTTTTTCTCCCATTTCTTTTAGAGGCTCATAGGAATTGTATTATCTGATTTCCTATTGCTTTGAAAGACTTCCATTGGCATTGCCAAATATTCTCTTTCATAAAACACACTGGTGTGACCATCTTTACACAACTTAGAAACTTGCAAAAGTTTGTCAGGCTTACATCATATAATAATACACACTCATACTAAAACTATTGTGTATAATAAGCAACTGCTCTTTTTATTGCATATTTCAGGTGAACCTATCAATAGCATCTTTCATTATGATAAGCAAGTCCTCTTTGTGTTTTACTTGACGAATACAGTAGTGTCATTTGGTTAAATATCAGTCATGCACTGAAGTTTTCTGTATTGCCTTGGACAGCTCCCTCTTCATTGGCAGTGACGGTGTCCGGTGTAGGGGGCGTGATTGCTCACCTCAGGCACTCCCAGTCACCACTCTCGCTGCCTCCCTCCACTGTTTCATCCACCACCACCACCACAGCTACCACAACCACCCTACACTCTTCATCTGGTAATGACTATTCCATTTTTTAATTGGTTAATACAATTATGTTATGTGGAATGTGGAATTATGTGGAATGTTATGTCACCATATTGTAGGCGATCCCTCTTGAAAATTTGTACATTTTTCTGGGGGGAGCCCCGTCGGCTCCCCGGAGCTATCCCAGGCTGATATGCTAATGTCAGACTTTGGCATCAGTCATGTGTATGGAGTTCTTAGGCCTACCGGGGACCACGGCCAGAACCGGGCCCCCTCAGAGAGGCAAGGGGAGCAATGGCCTATAGAAGCCCCCGTGTAGTTGGAAGCATTCTATGTCTGCCATCGACCGGAACAGGCACCCAGAAAGGTAAGCGCCCCAAAACAAACCCCTATTCTGGTTAAAATTGCTACCTAATACCGAACTAGTGGATAGAACTCCCCAACCGAAAACAAGCAAACTAGTGTGACGTCACACACTGCCGCGCCGCTGTCTGCGCAGCTCCCCCCTCCCCGGGAGGGGGAAGGGGGAGCCCCAGACCCCCCGCGCCGGCTACCCACACCTCAGTTCTTGAGGCTGATGCTATAGGCGATGGTCGTGTGCTCTGGCTCCGGTGTCGCTACTGCACTGTGCTTTGCGTGTGGTGTTAGTTTTGTGGGTGCGAGAGCCAGGAGTTATCTTCAGTACTCGGGCTGCATGCGCCTAGGGCTGCCTTCCCTAGGTGCCCTGTAAGTACTGCCCTTGGGGCTTGGGGCCACCTTCCACAGGCTCCTCGGGGTCTGCCTCTGCTGGTCCGTTTTACCTTTCGGTTTTTCGGCCGCCTGTTGGGCTCTTGGGTGTTCTGTTCTCCCTTGTTACCGGCAGGTAAGAGGCAGTTTGCACTGGTAGGGGCGCAGGGTGCTGCTCAGCTTGTATTTCCCGACATCGCGGCCGGCTCTGTTCCTTGGGGTTCGCTGTCCTCTTGCGGGGTTTTGTTTCTCTTTTTTTTGTTTTTGCCTGGTGGGGGGTTCTGTCATTTTATTGTTTGTTTTTGTCCTTCTGTCGTTCCCGCACGCTGGAGTGGCGGTTCCACGGTGCTTCAGGTTTTCCTGGTTGGGGGGTGAACTTGAGTACCTTCGGAGTGCTTGTTGGCTCCCTTCCCCGCGATGTGGGCGATTCAGCTCCATTTGCAGGTTCCCTCCCTTTCGGCGGCGCCGTTGCGGAGGACTTCGCGCCCGGGTCCTTTTATGTTCGGCCTTGCGGTTCTTTTCCCTCTGGGCTCTTCGGATTGGCTCATGGAGGATGTGGGGACGCTTGGGTCCGCCCGGGGTCCGGCACCTTGTCCTCGGCTGCGCGTTCGTCGGCTGCCTTGTTGAAGCTGTTCACGCTAATTTTGCGGGATACGGTTTCCCTGTTTTATGCTTCCCGTCTCGCGTGTCGGCAGGCGGTGCTGGGTTCCTCCGTGGAATCTGCTTGGGCTCTGGCTCTTAGGCGTTCTTCACCTTTTTGTCCTCTCCTGTTTGGGGAGTCGGCCGTGGCGCAGTTTATTCAGGCTGCGTCGGCGGCTTGTCGTCCGATGTCGGACTTGTTGGTTTTCCGGGGGTCCCGGGGTGGGTCTTCCCGGAAAGGTCGTGCCAGGGCTCGGGGTTCCTCTCGTCGTGGTAGGCCTCTGGTGTCAGGTTTGGGGTTGGCTCCTCCTGCGGACCCTCCCTCGTCTGGTCGGCGCGGTGTTCGCGCTGTGCGGGGTTCTGGGTCTCGTAAGGGTCGCCGGCCCTTTCGCGGTTTGCCCCTTTGACGGGGCGATGGGGGGGCGGCTTGCGCTGTTCGCCCGCGCCTGGTCCCACGATTCGTGGGCCTTTCGGGTCGTGTCTCGCGGCCTGCGGTGGCGTTGGGTGGCCCCTCCCCCCTTTGGGGGGTCGGGGCTGGCGGGGCAGGCTTCTTCCCCTGCGCTCTGTCGAGTCGTCTTGGAGTGGGTACGCTTGGGCGTCGTCGAAACGACGTCGTCCCTCAGATGGGTTTCCCGTCTGTTTCCGGTTCCGAAACGGGACTGCGCGGACCTGCGGTTCATTCTGGACTTGTCCCGTCTGAACCCCTGGGTTCATTGCCCCTCCTTTCGGATGACTACGCTGTCTCAGGTTCGGCTCCTCTTGGAGCCGGGAGCTTGGATGGTGTCCCTGGACCTCCGGGACGCTTATTGGCATGTCCCGATTCATCCGCGGTTCAGGGACTGGCTCGGTTTTGTAGTGGGGCGTCTGAGTTACCGCTTTCGTTGTCTCCCGTTCGGGTTGAACCTGGCACCTCGCGTGTTCACACGCCTTACACGGGTTGTGGTGGCTCGTTTGCGTCTCCTAGGTGTTCGGGTGTTGGCCTACCTCGACGACTGGCTGGTTTGGGCTCCCAGCCAGTCAGCTTGCTTGCTAGCCAGGGATTTGGTTCTTTCCCAGCTCGCCGGGTTCGGGTTCTTGGTGAACTGGAGGAAGTCCCATCTGGTTCCCTCTCAGGTTCGGACTTGGCTGGGTCTCGTGTGGGACTCTCGGACCGCCTCCTTGTCTCTCCCTCCGGAGTCTCTCCTGCGGCTGCGGTCCCGCCTTCGTCTGTTTCTGGAGGGCCCTCGGGTCACCCGGCGGTTGCTCGAGGGGCTGTGCGGGAGCCTGAACTTCGCGATGGTGGTCTACCCGCCGGGTCGGGTTTGGCTTCGACGGCTGTTCTGGTTCCTTCGGGGTTCCCCCTTCCGCCTCTCTCGCGATCGCAGAGTTCGACCCCCGGGGGCCTTGCGTCGGTTGCTGCGTCACCGGCTTCCTCTTCGGGTTTTTCGGGGTTCAGTGCCTTGGCGCCTACCCGAGCCCTCGCTCGATGTGTACACGGATGCGTCGTCTCTCGGCTGGGGTTTTGTGACCAGTGCTCACCAGGCCGGCCAGGGGCGTTGGGATCCGTCCTTCCGTCGAGCTCACAGCACGGTGCGGGAGTTCGCGGCAGTGTGGTTTGCTCTGGGGAGGATTCGGGTGGCCCGCGGATCGACGATTCGGCTCCATTCGGACTGCTCTCCGGTGGTTCATTGCCTGAACCGCGGGGGTTCGATGCGGTCCTTGTCTCTTTGGGGTTGGTCGCTTCGGGTGACTCGTCTGCTGAGTTCTCGGGGTTTGGCTCTCCTGGCGGTTCACGTACGGGGCGTGTCCAACGTCTTGGCCGACGCCCTGTCTCGCTTCGTTCCCCTCTCCACGGAGTGGACGGTCGACGACGAGTCCTTCCGTTGGCTTTGCCAGACGTTCGGGCGCCCCGAGGTGGACCTCTTCGCGTCGGCGTGGTCGCGGCGTCTTCCCGTTTATGCGGCGCCCTTCCCCGATTGCGAGGCCGTCGGGGTCGATGCCTTTCGGCTCGACTGGTCGAGGTGGGGGTTCCTGTACCTCTTTCCCCCGGTTCGGCTGTTGCTCCAGGTCCTGACTCGCTTAGAGACTTACCGGGGGAGAGTTGTCCTTCTGGCCCCTTGGTGGCCGGCCCAGCCTTGGTTTCAGGCGCTGGTTGCTCGGTGTCCGAACCCGAGGGTTTTCCCGCGGCTCCGCCTCTTTCAGCAGATCGGGCCGGTACGTCACGTAGCTGGTTCGATCTTCTCCTCGAGTCTTCGCGTATGGTTTTTTTGACTCGAGTCTATCATCATCTCTATGGTGATCAGGTGGCCTCCTTGTTGGTGTCCCACCTGAGGGCTTCTTCTCGGCGGCAGTATGAAGTTTCCTGGCGGTCCTTCCGTTTCTTTTTGCGTCTTCGTCGTGTTAGCTCCTTGTCTGTTCGGGTGGTCTTGTCCTTCCTCTCGTGGTTGTTTCAGGACCGTCATCTTATGCCTAACACTGTCGCTTCGTATCGTGCGGCGCTGGCGGAGCCGCTTCAGCTTGCTTTCGGTATCGATGTTACGTCTGCGCCGTTTCGCAAGCTGTCTCGTGCATTGTTTCACCTCCGGCCTGCTCATGCGTCGCCTGAGCCGTCCTGGTCTTTGGACAGAGTGCTCGCTTTCCTTTCATCTCCTCGTTTCGTTGTGGCCCCTTCGGTCCAGGATTGTTTTTCCAAGGCACTTTTCTTGTTGGCTTTGGCCTCTGGGGGTCGGGTAGGGGAGCTTCATGCTCTCCTCCGGCGCAGGGGTTTCTGCTCTTTTGGTCGTGGTGATAGTTTTGTTCGTTTGCAGCCGTCTCCTTCTTTTCTGGCGAAGAATGAGACTGCTGCGTTCCGGAGGGGTCCATGGGTGGTTGATGCTTGGTTGGTCAGGCCGGGGGTGCATCATGTTTTGTGTCCGGTTGCGGCGCTTCGCCGTTATTTGCGCGCCACAGCTTCTGTGTCCGGGGACGCGCTGTGGGTTGATCCGGTTTCCCTTCTTCCCTGTTTCGGGTCTCTCAGGTCGTCCGCAGGGTTATTAGGTCCAGCCAGCCTGCGGTCTATCCCCGTGCCCATGACGTTCGTAAGTTCGCGGCTCTTGCTGCCGTCTTTGGGAATATGTCTTGGTCTGATATTCGGGCGCGGGGATTTTGGCGGTCGAACAGGGTCCTGGCTGCTCGTTACCTTGTGAATGTCCCTGGGCCTCGTCGGGCCTGTGTTGCTTTGGGTCGGCGGTTGCAGCCAGTTGTCTCGGCTTCGAGTTGAGGGGTGAGCGACGACCGCCTCCCGGGTAAGTCCCTCTTTTTCTGTCTGTGGGTAGTTAGCTCCGGGGAGCCGACGGGGCTCCCCCCAGAAAACCAGCGTTGAATGTAATGAAACGCCATTTTCTGGGTGAGTCCCGGAGGCTCCCCGGCATCCCTCCCTCCCTCCGGTCGGCGGTTTTTCGCGTTTTTGACATCCAGCCTCAAGAACTGAGGTGTGGGTAGCCGGCGCGGGGGGTCTGGGGCTCCCCCTTCCCCCTCCCGGGGAGGGGGGAGCTGCGCAGACAGCGGCGCGGCAGTGTGTGACGTCACACTAGTTTGCTTGTTTTCGGTTGGGGAGTTCTATCCACTAGTTCGGTTTTAGGTAGCAATTTTAACCAGAATAGGGGTTTGTTTTGGGGCGCTTACCTTTCTGGGTGCCTGTTCCGGTCGATGGCAGACATAGAATGCTTCCAACTACACGGGGGCTTCTATAGGCCATTGCTCCCCTTGCCTCTCTGAGGGGGCCCGGTTCTGGCCGTGGTCCCCGGTAGGCCTAAGAACTCCATACACATGACTGATGCCAAAGTCTGACATTAGCATATCAGCCTGGGATAGCTCCGGGGAGCCTCCGGGACTCACCCAGAAAATGGCGTTTCATTACATTCAACGCTGGTTTTTTCACCTTCTGCAGACTGAGCTCTCAGTTCTATAGCTTATGTAGTGTGTACAAAGTTGCCTCTGTTCTGTGTTCCTCGTGTTCAACTTAGTGGTGGGGTGTTTGCCTTTGGTGGCATTTCCTGTACACTGTAGTGTTGCATGAGCCAAGTTTTGAAAGTGGTTGGAGCTGCATGTGCTCAAGGTTTCCTTCCTGTATGCTTCCTAGCACTGCCCTTGCACTGTCAGAGTTAACATTTCTGGAGTGATTGGGAGTTGCTCCCTTGAGATGGAAGGGGGAGGGTCCTCATTCGTGATGGCTCTTGCCAAATGTAAGTCGGGTATCTTGTGGCTTCCCTGCCTTAACCCGGGTCGGATACAATGTTGGCTGGTGGGGTGCATTGGTGGTTCACATGCTTAACATTTCTGGTGCACAGAGGTTGGCCTTCACAGCCACATGAACCAGGCTGTGTCGGCTTACTTTTAGGTACAGCGTAATATCCCCAATGCTGGATATCTTGCTTGGTTTACCTTTCAGGGGCTGGAAATTCCTTGCAGGTTCGGTGGTCCTATGAGTATTCCCTCCAAACATGCTCTTGCTTTGTGCAAGTCTGAGGGTTGCTCGTCATCTGTGCTATGGGGCAATGATCATTCTGGCTTTGCCATGATGCTTGTTAGATCAATGGCTCCTTTGAGTCTAAGTCCTTTGGGGTTTGCCCTCCCCATGTGACCCTAATTTCAGACCCTCTTGATGCTATTACTACTTACTAAACAGTACAGTAACTGCGTTGCATGTTCGTTCTGCTAGGTTACTGCGGTCTAGGTTATATGCCTGATTGGATGTCCTGGAGCTAATTTTGGGGGTTTAGGAACCTGGAACTGGAGGTGTTTATTTGGCTCTGTTCGCATCTCCTCTTCCTTCCGGTTTGGGTTGATCCAGTTTCCCTCATTCACGGTTCCAGGGCTCGGGTCTCCTAGGTCTTCTGAAAGGTTCGACACAGGATTCTCCTGTGTCGATCAGATGCTTACAAGATGTCCCATTTGCAGAGTTTGTCAAGGCTTCAGTCCATGTATTTTTTGTGGTCTTCCTCCATTTACTTTCTTTGTCGCTCTTTTTGGTTGGCATCTGCTGATGATACTGTTGCCTTGGTTTCACCTCCATCCTGCTTTTGTGCCGCCAGAGTCGGTTTGGTCTCTGGACCGACTGTTCCTTTTCTCACTTTCACTCAGTTTCCTGCCTCCTTTTCAGTCCAGATTGGCACATGTGGTGGCACATACAAAATAGAATGCCACTGCTGCTTGCACATCTGTGAGGGGGGCCAAGTTCTGGCTCTGGTCCCTGGTAGGCCTATATAATTCCATGGCTGATGTGACCTAGTTGATAATACCATCTCAGCACATAACTTCAAGAAACCACTGGGAATCTTCCAGAAATTGGCATGCCATTACATACAACACTGGTTTTTGTTGACTTCATATTAAGCTATAATGTGTTTATAGGGAGTTGTGTTACAAGTGGGCATAGTGTGGCCACGCGATCCAACACAACCCTGACACACATCACCAATGCCCAACACACCACGACCACCAATGCCTGCACTCAGGTTAGTCAATAGTATTTTTCACATGAAAATGCATTTAAATATTATTATTGTATGTTTACTGATTATAAATATGGAGAAGGAATGGTGGTCAATGCAGTATATTTCAACTCGACCTTCTGTTTAGATAAGTTTTTCTTGAGTCCCCAGCCTGTCATGTCTTTATTGAAGGTGGGGGACCAGAGTCTGCTCCTATAATTTACATTTTTCTCTGTCAAATCCAGTTTTTGGTGGGGCAATTCATTAGGTATATTTAGTCCATTATTTATGGTAATTTGCTATATAACAGTCTGGATTTTGAAGGGTCCACCAAATTATTTATAGTACAGTATAGTCAAATTTAAATTAAATATAGCACTTTGGCATTGTAATGTGATATAGTTAACTGTTAATGGTAAAATGATTAACCTGTTTTGTTCTTGTTGTTACAGCGAATCAGTGTCTTTGAACCATTTGCTATGAGAGATACAGTACAGCATTTTTGTGAAAAGCACCTGGACAAGATTAAGGCCTACATGCAGAAAGTTTTTGTCAAACTCCCACTGCCTGTGCGTTGTGGTATTGAAGGTAAGATAAAGTATTAGTAAATATACAAAATGTGATAGTTATATTTACCAAATGTTCACAAAGTTTACCATTCATGAAACTGATAAAGCTCACAAGGATTATGGGCTCGTGCAGAAAGTGGATATAGAAGTCAGTGCACAAGATCCACTTAGCAGTAAGATTAACTATATATGGTTGGTAAATAGGTTGTGCTAATCATGTACATAGTGGTAGACTAGGGGCAGAAGGCAAGATCAGGAGAATGGTGTCATATAACAACAATATTGCTCACTTGAGTTGTCTGGTAAGCATTTCCTGCATGCAAGTATACTTCCCTAGCGTGTCATAATGAGTTGCTTTGATGGTGGGAGCCTCTTGTTGCTCTCTAAAGCTACTATACTGATACAGTGTCATACTATAAGGTGCCATCCGTCACAGAGATCATATTGGCTTACTGGGGATCATAAGCCAGAACCTGGCCCCCGCAGAGAGGTGCAGGGAGCAGTGGCACTATGAAAAGCTTTTATGTAAAGTTATTCATGTCTGCGACCACCTAAAGAAGGCACCCAGAAAGTCGGCAAAACAAAACAGACCATTGTTAGGTTAGAAATGAGACTGCAGCCTCAAAGCCACCAAAAGAACTTCCCCCAAGAATATAATCAAATGATTGAAAATTCTCAAATTTAAGCGAGCTAGTGCACCCCACCTACCCCTATTATTTGGGGGAGGAGGGAGGCACGCTGGGTCAGCCAGCTGCTCCACCACCAGTTATTATGTTGATGTAGCACAGTGCTGGTTGCCCTCTTAACTCACTCTGGCTCCAGTCTCCTGTCTAAATGGTGTTGGCCTTTGAAGCTGTTCTTGTACACGTTCGGGCAGTGTGAGCCAGGGGGTTTTAGTCTACCTGGAGCTGCATGTGCTCAAGAATTCTGTAGCTGTGTGCTCCTCAAGTGCTATCCATGCACAGTCAGGATTTTCTTACCTGGTGTGTTCGGGATACACTCCCTTATGGAGTCTACTAACTTGTGGTGGCCCTTGCCCTTCAGATAAGCTGGTTTTGTTTGACTGACTGACTCCTTGGGTTGGGAGTGACTGTTGCTGGTGGGGTACACTGCAAGCCGTGGTGGGCCTCCAGCTTACATGTCTGGCTGATGCTACGATTCTCCCTGGTTGCTTGTATGCCACAGTTGGGTCCTAGGGAGTTTCAGGCTTTAATCTGTCTTATTTTTTTCCCCCTTTTCTGCTTGGGGGCTTTGCCATTTTAACCTTTATAAGGTTTCGTCTAGGATTTGGTGTGGTTAACCTCCTTGTTACTCCTTGGACCTTTACCTTGACATAGCATTCCCAATGCCTGGTCTTCCTGGAGGGAACACTCATCCTGCAAGCCCTGGAAAACCCCCGTGGGCTCAGTTGTACTATGGGTACCTCTTCATAGCCTGCTCATACTTCGTGTGAATTTGTGGGTTGTGCATTGTCTGTGTCACAGGTGACATTCATATGTTTTGCCTCTGCTATGCTGCATGCTGGGTCGGTGACACCTTCGATTCTGAGTCGTGTGGGACTTGCTCCCCACATCTGACTATTCTTACCCACTTTCCTCTTGTAGTTCAGAGGTATCAGGTGGTAATTGCTTTGCATTTTAGGTTTTCTGTGTTGCAGTGGTCTAGTTTGTGTGCCCAGTTGATTGCCCCGCATTTGCCCCGCTTTGTGTTTAGGGTCTTGGATTTTATAGGTGTTGGTAATTCAACTGTGATTCTGTCCGCATCTCCTCCTCTTCTCGTGGTGGGTAGGGTTTGCCCTTCTCCTTCCCCCCAGTTTCCAGCTCCAAAACATCTGAGGGTTTTGGAGTCAGGGCAGGGTTTAGCTCTGGATGTAGCTTGGGCTGATCCGGGGTTTAACCCCTTCCGACTCGGGTACAGAGGCAGTTGAGCCTCTCGCTCACACCAAGGCTTCTGGGTCTTTCTGCCAGGCCCCTTCTTTTGAAGCTTCTTCCTTGGACTCCGCTTTTCTATCCTGTGTGGTGGGCTTGGACGATGGCTCTGACCTGCAGATGGCTGCAGATGGCTGCAGATAATATAACGGATATTACCACAAACTCGGAAGACTTTGAAAGAGAAATTGATAATATGCCTATGCACTCAGCTCCTGGGCCTGACTCATGGAATTCAATATTCATAAAGAAATGTAAAGTGCCAGTAGCGAGAGCACTCAGCGTAATATGGAGAAAGAGCCTGGATACAGGGGAGATACCAGCAGCACTTAAATCTGCAGATATAGCTCCGTTGCACAAGGGGGGGAGTAAAGCCTTGGCAAAAAATTATAGGCCAGTTGCACTAACATCACACATAATAAAAGTATTTGAAAGAGTGATTAGGAATCAAATTTCTAGTTTTATGGAAAACAATGAATTGCACAATCCAGGACAACATGGATTTAGAGCGGGAAGATCCTGTCTGTCACAGTTACTCAACCACTATGACAAAATCACAGAAGCCCTAGAAGAAAAGCAAAATGCAGATGTTGTATACACAGACTTTGCAAAGGCGTTCGACAAATGTGACCATGGGGTGATAGCTCACAAAATGAGGTCAATGGGAATAACTGGAAAAGTAGGACGCTGGATACTCAATTTCCTGTCGAACAGAACACAAAGAGTAACAGTCAATCAGATAAAATCGAGTCCAAGCGATGTTAAAAGCTCTGTACCTCAAGGTACAGTCCTTGCACCGCTACTGTTCCTTATTCTCATATCAGATATAGACAAAAATACACGTCACAGCTTCGTGTCGTCCTTTGCAGATGACACAAAAATCAGCATGAAAATTACATCTGCTGAAGACATTGAAAAACTACAAGCAGATGTCAACAAAGTTTTTGATTGGGCAGCAGAAAATAACATGATGTTTAACAGTGATAAATTTCAGGTACTCAGGTACGGCAAAAATGAGGATCTGAAACATAATACAGGGTACAAAACACAATCGAATCTTCCCATAGTAGAAAAACAGCATGTCAAGGATTTGGGAATAATGATGTCCGACGATCTAACGTTTAGGGAGCATAACCAAGCAAATATTGCGTCAGTCAGAAAAATGATCGGATGGATTACGAGAACTTTCAAATCCAGGGATCCCATCACAATGGTTGTACTCTTCAAGTCACTTGTGCTGTCCCGTCTCGAGTACTGCTCAGTACTCACTTCCCCCTTCAGAGCAGGAGAGATTGCTGAAATAGAGGGAATACAGAGAACATATACGGCACGCATAGACGAGATAAAACACCTAAATTATTGGGATCGTCTCAAAGCTCTCCAAATGTACTCTCTAGAAAGGAGACGAGAGAGATACCAAATAATATACACATGGAAAATACTGGAGGGTCAGGTCCCAAATCTACACAGTAAAATAACAACGTACTGGAGTGAACGATATGGAAGAAAATGCAAGATTGAACCTGTGAAGAGCAGAGGTGCCATAGGCACAATCAGAGAGCACTGTATAAACATCAGGGGTCCGCGGTTGTTCAACGTCCTCCCAGCGAGCATAAGAAATATTGCCGGAACAACCGTGGACATCTTCAAGAGAAAACTGGACGGTTTTCTAAGAGAAGTTCCGGATCAGCCGGGCTGTGGTGGGTACGTGGCCCTGCGGGCCGCTCCAAGCAACAGCCTGGTGGACCAAACTCTCACAAGTCGAGCCTGGCCTCGGGCCGGGCTTGGGGAGTAGAAGAACTCCCAGAACCCCATCAACCAGGTATCAACCAGGTATCAACCAGACCTGTGGCCCCCATCTGTGGTTTTCAGTCCATGGAGGGGAGATCACCTGGTGCCCTTGGGTCTCGTTTGATCCTTTGTGGATCTTTATGCCTTCTGTGGAGGATCTTATATTGCATGAGGGCATTTTCGTATTCATTCTGTGCAAGTTCCTGTTGGATGCGGTTCCCCCAGGGTTTGTTTCCGAGTGCCTTTGGGCTCTTCAGTTTTGTCCTTCCTCCCAAGTTTCCCCAGTGGAGGCTTGGAAGGCCCTTTGTATGTATCTCCTACACGACCCAATTTACTCATCAGTTATGAACTTCGAGTTCTGTTCTGTTCCACCCCTTATTGGGTGCATTACAAAATTCTCTCATGCCCTTTAGCCATACAGTCCAGATCATTTTCAAAACAGCAATCCCTTCTCTCTCCCAGTATGCAGTAAGCAACCCCATATGTCATACTGTACTGCCCGTTTTACATAACATTAAACAACAAACAATCTTTTATATAATTTCAATATATCTGATATAAACTTCTAGCTGTCCATTTTTTTTTAACCAAACATTTTTGTAACTTCTCTTAAGCTAGTAGCTTACATCATGTTAATCTGGCATATGGCTGCTAGCATTTGTAATCAACTGCCTCTGCTCTGCATTTGTAATCAAGTGCATTGTGTCAAACTCTGGCACCTGCTGCAGCAAGGATGATGTAAATATGAGTCGATGTAATGGGAGCTCCTCAACACAGTAACTTTGGCAACGTGGATGCCACGCTTCTCTCTCCTCCTTCCTCGGGGTGCACATACGCGTAGCTCTCGATAGGAATCTCGAGAGTAAATTAATTTATTTATTTGAAGTTAATGAGGGAAGTAAGTAATTGTGATGACTATTTGCTTTATAAATAAATGTATCATATTGTAATCTAATTTCTCGCAATGTAAGTCAGTTGATTAAGACTGCGTGAAATGAACGAGATGAATAAGGAGTAGAATTATTTTACATTTTAATATTTTCCACTGGAGTCAGTAATCTAACTAAATAAATGAATTCCAGCAAGCAGTAATATGCTAAATAAATAAACTTATTAGTAAATGATTATCCTGAGTAAAGGAAGGTAAAGAACTGGACTCTGTTGGATCCGACAATATGTGGAGATATTTTCTACAACGGGCTGGCGCCACACCACGTAGTAGGAAGAATTTGGCAAAATATTACGCCATATGAAAATATTATTATGGTTAATTGTACAAGTTAGTAATTTTAGTAACTACTGGATGTTAACATAAATATGTTTCATTAAATACAAAATGCTAAATGAAAACTGTTGGTTATTTCCATCAAGCATACCATGGCTGTGTGCTGTGACTGTTTGCATCGCTTTGTAAACATTGTCACCATCATCAGGTTTATTGATATCTGAACCTTGTACATAATCTTTATCACTGTCAGGGGTTTTCTGTGTCACTTTCATCAATAAATAATTGCGATTACTGTATTTATTTATTTCATGATCATTAAGTGATGTTGTGGGCATGCGCTGCATGGTGGTGCTGTGAGCTGCTTCTGCATGACCTACACAAGGTTGCTGTGTTAGCACTGAGGCCCTCACACCCAGGAGGGGCACCCATCATTTTTTTCCAAGATGGCACCTGTTTACTGGAACCCTGAGGAAGAGGATGGGAGCCCCGTGTACCCGCGGGAGTTTTGAATCTTACACTAGACCTATAAGTGTGTGTGGTTGCAGTGCCACCATCGATGAAGCGACCCTGGTTGCTATGTGCAGTTGAAGGGTTAAGAAATCTCTCTCATTTGTTGTCTATTTTCAGAACCCAGGACGTAGTGGTAATGTCAATTTCCAGGTTTGCATTGCTGTATTATCTATAATCACATTCTTTAAAGCATGGATATTCTCTTCAACAGAGAGAAAAAATAAAAAGCATGCCAAGCTGTACTTTGCATGTCAGGGTAAAGGTGAACATTGCCTCTACAATAAACATCTCTTCACTATGAAGACCAGAAATCCAAGGGTCTGGATTCATCTCATGTTTCTTGCTCTTCAGGTGAGACGACATACTTCACTGACGTGTTTTTATGCATTACAAAAATTGAGGACTGCGTGATGCAGTACTTTGAAATTAATATAACTCAAGGGGGCTGAATTATTTATTAATTTTGTATTTGATATGTCTTAAGTTGAATCATTACATCTAGGAAGAATATAAGAATTGTATGAGAATGTATAGAGGCATACCAGTATTGAGATAATATTACACTCATCAAGGTTCAGTGTGTAGTGCACGTGGTGGGAAGAGTCCAGGAACACGAGTTCCAACCCACCACATTGCTTCTTCTCAGAGATACATCATGTTAATGGGATTCAATGTGCATTAAAAGTGTACCTTAAGCACTGACTTGCTGCTCACATGATCTATAACCAGCTCTTGCATTGATCCTACAGTAATCATTATTTTATGGCTGGTTTAGGCTCGGTCATGCGTGGCCCTGAGTACCAGAGAGATGCAGGTGAGCAGCCTCAAAAATTGCTGGGACATTCTCAAGTGTGATACCAAGACGTTTGTCACTCTGGTTACCTCTGCCTTCCCTTCTGCAAAGGTCAGTCATTTAGTTTTTGACTTTGTAAATTTTATTTCTTGTTCTCTCTGAAAACTCATTTACTGATGAGAATTTATTAACATTAAATCATGTCTAGACATTTCAGCTACTTTCATAATAGATGTTGAAAAAAGTACTTGCAGTTTGTTGAATAAAGCTAGGTTCATTAGAGCACAGTGCTAATGGCAATATAAGGAAACACCAAGGAAATTGTAGACTGTATTGAAGATTTTACCTACGAGGGCTTTGATAAAAGCCTTTGCAGATAAAAAGTTATTGTAAACACTGTACTTGGCGTTTCTCTACATTGGTTGAAGAATTCCACATGAAGATTTGCTGGTCACATAAGCCAAAGTGATATCATTATCATTCTTGCTGGAGCTGAGAATTAAGATACAAGAAAAGAATTGAGATTTTGTATAGCTTGAACATGTAAACGAGATGGTAGAAGAAAGGAAACATTAAAATAAAGAAATGAAAAGGTAAAAAATAAACAAGGATGTACATGAACAAGCATCCTGAAATGGGCAGTTGAAGTTTTTTCTGTGGGGAGCCCCTACGGCTCCCTGGAGCTTATCGGGCTAATGTATGTTATATTAGACCGGGACATTAGCTAAGGAGTTCAGACCTACCAGGGACCAGCGCCAGAACCTGGCCCCTTCAGAGAGGTTTCAGGGAGCAATGGCCCTGGAAAACCCCCTTGTGGTTGGGGTTTTCCTTATCTGCCATCGACCGGGGTTAGGCACCCAGAAAGGTAGGCGTAACAAAACAAACCCCACATGGTAAGAAACTACAACAAAAACCGAACAGAGAGGTAGAAAACTCCCTACAATCCCAAGGAAACAAGCAAACAAGCAAACATCACACTTTACTGCCGCGCCGATCGTCCGCGCAGCCCTCCCCGCCCCGGGAGGGGGAGGGGGGAGCCCCGGACCTACCGCGCCGGCTGCCAAGCTTCAGTTCGTTCGCTAATGTCAACCGGGATTGACGCTTCTCTGGCCTCAGTTTCCTAGGCGGTGTTTGCCTTGTGTGGCGTTCACTGCCGTGTGTTGTGTTGTGCGGTGGCCAGGAGTACTTCATCAGTGCCGGGGCTGCATGTGCTTAGTGGCTGACTTCCCTAAGCGCCCTGTGAGTACTGCCCTTGCGTAACAGGGTTATCTTCCCTGGGGCGTTCGGGAACCATTCCCGTAGAGGTTCTTGCTGCTCGGCATTTGCCTCGCCCTTGGGGCCAGCTGGGGCTTGGGGCCCTTGTTTGGCCCTGGGTAGGGATTGGTATTGTGCTGGTTAGGGCGTCAAGGTGTTGCGCAGCCTGCCACCTAAGCGGCGGCCGGTTTCTGTTGCCTCTGGAGACGGTGTACTTTTGCGGGGTTTTTCTTTTGTTTTTATTTTTCTTGCCTGGTGGGGGTCTGCCTAAGGTGGTTATAGTTCCACTGGTAGTGTTTGGCGGCCCTCTGCTAGGCCCCCGTGATTGTACACGTCTCAGGGGTTTTCAGTGCTATAATCTACCCTCTTGTTATGTTTGGGTTTCTTAACCGGTTAGCAACACCTTGCCCGGGCTTCCCGTAGTTGTTACCCTACAGGCCCTGGAAACCCCTGTCTGGGCTCGGGGGACCATTGAATGTGTCTTCCGGGTTCCAACCCGTCTTGTATGGGATCATTGATTGCTGTTCCCTTGTCTCCGGGTGACAGTCGCCATTTTTACCTCCGTCATGCTGCCTGTTGGGTCACTGACACCTTGACCCGGAGTCTTGCGAGTGATTCTCTGCTTGTTCTCCAGTACTCTCCTGATGTTATTACTATTCAGAGTACAGGCGGCATCCGTGTTGCAAGCTTGGTTAGGTTGCTGCAACATGCTAGGTTGGTTTCTTACTCGAATGCCCCGTGGCCGCCCCGTTTGGTTAGATGCTGTTCGCCCCTGTCCCTCCATGTTCCCGGCTCCGGACCGTCTGCGGTTTTCGGGGTCGGGGCGGGGTTTAGTTGCGGCAGAGACTCGGGCGGTTTTCGGGGGCTGCCCCGTTCGGGTTGGGGACGGAGGTTTGAGCCTGTGCCTCCTGCCAAGGCTTCTGGGTCTTACCAGCGGCCCTTTCTTGTTGCCTTTCCCAAGGACTCTTGCTTTTCTTTAAGGGCAGAGGGCTTGGAGGACGGCTCTGCCCCGGGGCCTTTGTTGTTGGTTCCCGGGGCTGTGGGGGATGCTTGCTAGCAGTTCTGGGGGCGGTTTTGCCCCTGCCGGGGTTTTTTCTGCTGTTGGGCAACGTTTTTTGCCCATCCAGTCTGCTAGCTTCCCACATTTGCTGGCGTGTTTTTGTGTCTTTAGCGTCAGTCCCAGCCCCTGCTGGCGGCCATTTTCGTCTGCCGGTTTCACGGCGTGGCCACCAGGGCGGCGTTGCGGTTTGTTTACATGCGTCTGGGTGTGCGAGCGAGCGTCTCGGGTGAGTTTTCATTTTTTTTTCAGGGTTTTTGTTCTCCTGTTGTCGTTTCTTTGTTTTTCTGGTGTTTTCTTGCCGTTGCCTGTTCCTCTGGGAACGTTTGGGTGTTGATTTTGGGTCTGAGCCCTTGGGTTTAGGCTCAGTGCCCCTGGCTGGTATGCTTGCTCCCACACCTTGTCCCTCGGTTTTCGGTCTGTTGGGACCGTTTTCCCAGGGCGTTCTGCTGGGGGCTGTGCTTTGCCTTTCAGTGGTGTTCTCCGCCGGCAAATGTGGTGGTTTGGGCTCCCCCTGGTTCGATTCTGGGTTCCTTTGGGTTCCTTGGTTTCGTTCTGGAGGTTTCTTCCTCTTGGGCCCCCTTTTGTGGGTTCAGGGGACTTTGTTTCCTCGTGTGACCCGGTTCTGCCTTTTGGGGTTCCGGGGTCTTCCTGGCTTGCAGACTGATCTTTTTGGGTCTTGGCGCATGTTGTGGTTGTGCTGGGACTTTGTGGTTTTGCTGTGGAGGTGGGCCTTTTGATGCAGTTTTGTGCCTTCTTTGCCTGGCCGGCGTAGTGCTCTCTGCCACTAGTCGGCGCTACTTGTGCTTTTACAATATATGTCCTCACCTAGTTGTGCTTGTGGGGGTTGAGCTCTGGCTCCTTGGTCCTGCCTCTCAACCGTCTATCAACAGGTGTATCGGTTCCTGTGCCTCTTGGGCTCTGTCATGTCTACATGTGACATTGTATGGGGGTCATGTTACTTGTGTGAGGAGTCACCACATTACTTCTTAGTGCTTTCCCGTTCCCATTCTGACACTCAAAAAAAAAAAAAAAAAAAAAAAAAAAAAAAAATAATTCTATCTGTGGCTCTTTTGGGTACTCAGTTTCCACCTGTGTCCCCTAGTGCGTGTGCCCCTTGTGTTACATAGCCTGTCCTTATCAACCCTGTCGATTCCCTTGGGTATCTTGTATGTGGTGATCAGGTCTCCCCTCACTTCATCTTCCAGCGAAGTGTGGTTTCATTCCCGTAGTCTCTCCTCATGACTTCGGTAGTGTACTTTTTCTTTCGGAAGGGGTTCTGTTCCCTTCTCTGTTGACTGGGCGCTGGGGGAGCAGCTTGCTCTGTTGCCTCTCGCTTGGTCCCGCTGTTGGTGGGCGCTTTGGGTTGTCTTCCGGCCTCTGCTGGCGTCGGAGGACGGCTTCTCCCCCTTGGGGGGGTTCAGAGCTGGCGGGGTGGGCTTCTTCCCCTGCGCTTCGTCATTTCCTCTTCGTGGGTGCGTGGGGCGTGGTCGATCCGCCCCATCCTTCTGGGCTTCCCGTCTGCTCTTTGCAGTCATGAGCTTTTCCCGTCTGCAGTTCTTCTGGACTTCTTCAGTCTGCGCCCTGGATCCTCTGCCCTCCTCGGAGGACTGTTGTCTCCTGTTCGGATTCTGTTGGGGCCGGGTGCATGGATGGTGGCCCTGGACCTCCAGGTCACTTCTTGGCACGTTCCTCTCCAGTTTTTCTGGGGGCACGGTTGGCACTAAGTGTAGTTGGTGGTGGGGTCTTCCCAGCAGGCTTTGATTATAATTGTCATATTGTTTTGATTGTCATATGTCATAATATGTCTTAATATTTGTAATGCTTTGGTGGTGGGGCAGGTTTGCTGTTTTTATTGCCTTCCCTATTTTGTGTACTTTGTATACTCTTTGCATCTTTACCGGATCTTAGTGCCCTGTCTGAGTCTGAGATTCGGTGTCTGGCCTACCTCGACGACTGGCTGGAGTGGGCTCCCAGTCAGTCCGCTTGTCTGCTCGCCAGGGGATGGTTCTTTCCAGATCGCCGGGTTTGGTTTCCTGGTGCTCTGGGGTTTTTTCCATCTGTTTCCGTCCCGGGTTCGGACCTGGGCCTTGTTTCAGGCTCTTGGGCCCCTCATTGTCTTCCCTCCAGAAGTGTTCCTGCGGCTGTGGTCCCGCCTTTGGCTGTTCAGGAGGGGGTCCCGGGTTGCTCAGCGGTTGCTTGGGCGGTTGTGCGGGAGTCTGCACTTCGGCGTGCTTGTCTGCCCGCGGAGTCGGGTTTGGCTTCGGCGTCGGTTGGTTCCTTCGGAGACTCCCCTTCCGCCTCTTGCATTCCTTGGGTTCCTCCGGGGATCTTGTGTTGGTGCTGCGTCACCAGCTTCCTCTTTGGGGTTTTCGGGGTTCCGTGCCTTGGCACCTCCCCGAGCCTTCGCTCGATGTGTTCACGGACGAGCCGTCTTTCGGCTGGGGCTTTGTGAACAGTGCTCACCAGGTCGGCCGAGGTTGATGGAGTCTCTGTCCGTCGGGCTCACAGCACGGTTCGGGTGTTCATGGCTGTCTGGTTTGCGCTTCGGAGGGTTTGGGTCACTAGGTACTCTACCATTCAGCTCTGTTTGGACTGTTCTCTGGTGGTTCTTGCCGGAACCACAGGTGTTTGACCTTTGGGGGGTTTGGTTAACCGTGTGGTTCGTGTCCGGGGTGTGTCCTGCGTCCTGGCGGACAGCTGTCTCGGTTCATTCCTCTTCGTGGGTTGGCCAGTCGTCGCCGATTCGTTTTGTTGGCTCTGTTGGGCGTATGGACTCCTGGCCATGGACGTCTTCGAGTCGGCGTGGTCTAGGCGTCGCCCATTTATGTGGCGCCCTTACCCACCTGCGAGGACTTCACGGTGGATGGCTTTCGGCAGGACTGGTCGAGGTGGGGGGTACCTGTTCCTCTTCTCCCGGTCCAGCTGTTGCTTCGGGTTCTGGCTCGGTTGCAGCCCATTCCCACGAGAACAGTCCTTATGGTTCCTTGGTGGCCGGCCCAGCCTTATTTTCAGACGCTGCTTGATAGGTGTCCGAAC